AAAAAAAAAACCACAACCCTTTTGTTATGGTGAATAAACCCCATCCATTCCTCATCACAATAAACACGGCAATTTTTTGCAACTACAAAATTCATCTCTTTAAAAAGTACTAATTGCTCCTTTTGGAAAAAAAGGGCCTGAATGTTCCTGTTCCAGCCCAGAAGGAGCAGCATGTGCACTGTGCTCTCAAGATTGTTTATCTTCTCTGCTCCTCTATTCTTAATATTCTCCACTTCAGTTCTTCTGAAGCCTGACAGGCTCCATATAAAAAGAAAATGGGTAAATGATTTAAACAGTAGCCATCTTAGGGTTGAGCTGAATGTAAAACAGCGAGTAAAATATTCTTTTTGTTACCATCCTAGTGTGGAAAGCCGTGAAAAACCATGGAAAGCCGTGGAAAGACTTTGTACCCTGCTCAGCAGGTCATCTTCATCCCTCAGAGAGGCACTGACATGATTGTTTCTCTCCCCATTTATACAACATCAGAATTAAATGCAGAGATACCCACCTCCTGAAGGACACAGCTCGAGAAATAAAAGGCAGTGAAGGTCTGAGGATGTGGCTTTGCTGAGGTCCACAGAGTGTCACCCAGGAGAGGAGGGAGAGGGTCGCTCTTGGAAACCACTTTTCCAGTTTTCCAACTTGCTTGATTCACGTCTCTGTCAAAAGTTAAAGATGAGTAAAAACTGCTCTTTGTGGCCCATGGAATGATGTAATTTAACAACTATGATTTGTGCTATTAATTGCTCCTGTTTGGTGCTTTCTGCCACAATTTCATCTCAAATTCACCACCAGAAGCTCACCCCCCATCAGCTGATGTCTCCAAAGCTTTCTGCAGGTTTATTGCTGTCCTAATATTTGGGAAATAGGATTCACTGTTGAGGAATATAAGGAAAATTATGTCACTTGCCCTAATTTTGTGAAGAATAAAAAATACTGGGAGCTTCCTGGAAGACAGAGAGGCCACCTCCTTTTCCCATAAAACCAAGCACAGGGTACATCTTGGAGACAGGCTCCTCCAAGGCAGACAGCAATTTGAGCTGTAAAACTGTTTCTCATCCTCAGTGGCTTCGTGCCATTGCAAACAGGAGGTAAAACTTACTTTAGAGTGTATTTGATGCAACAATATTGAGCTTGACCCATTAGCTGGTTTTGAACAGTCAAATTTTTCCCTCTCACTGTTAATTCAACCTGAAAAATCCCCTATTCAGAGTGAAAGGCTTTATTTAAGACTCCATGGAAAGGTTGGAGGGGTTGGCTACCCAGAGTGCATAGGGATGGACAAAATTATTAGAACAAATCCCATTTTCAGTGACCCAGGCATTGATCCAGGAGTCCAGAGCAGAGTTGTGTGAAGCAGAGTCAAAAACTCCCTGGAAGGTGAGGATTGCACCAGGACTCTCATTCTGGGGCCACTTAAAGCCTCTCCTCTCTCCCCATCATGAGAGATTTGCCCTCCTGGGCAGGCACAGCCTATAAATTGTCCCCACTGAAGAACTTCTGAGGTCTCTGCTTGGAAAAACAAAGATTTGTGCAAACAAGGCTTCAGGCTCCGGAAAACAGGAATTTCCAGTCAGAGCTGCCTGTCAAGCTGTTGGCACAATAATTTGGCATGGAGTGACAGACAAGGGGGAATGGCTTCCCACTGCCAGAGGGCAGGGTTAGATGGGATATTGGGAAGGAATTCTTCCCTGTGAGGGTGGGGAGGCCCTGGCACAGAGAAGCTGTGGCTGCCCCATCCCTGGAAGTGCCCAAGGCCAGGTTGGAGCAGCCTGGGCTAGTGAAAGGTGTCCCTGCCCACGGCAAGGGGTGAAATAAGATGAGCCCTAAGGTCCCTTCCTACCCAAACCATTCCAGGATTCTGTGATGATGAATTATTTCTGGTAGATTTTTCACATCTTGGCCGCAGGAAGAGACACGCAGATCAAGCTTCATCCCCCCCAGGGAAATCCAACAGCAATATTTTAGCACTGGAAAACACAATTTATTTCATGTCTGGAGTAAATGACCCAAAATTGAGATGGAACCTGCCCCACACTGCCCACACAGATCAGGTTGCTGGGACACCAAAGCCATCCAGTTGAAGCAAACACCCAAAATGAGCCCAATCTGTTGATAAAACCCAAGGATGGAGTTTCCTAGACAAGCAGTGTCTCCCCCAGATTTCCTGGCAGTGATCCCAACTCCTGCAGAAAGGCTTGTGAGCCAGATCTCTGTGTTTTTCAGAGGCAGCAGTAGATATTTGATGAGCTCTGTGAAGAGAGTTGTTGATTCACTGGAAAATACAGCAGAAACTGGGTAAAACCAAATCAAATCAATTTAAGCTGCTGACACATCCCTGGATTGGGGAGTGAAATGTAAAAAGGGTTTGTAAGCAAAGCAATGACTTGGTTACCCACACAGAAGAATTAATTTCTGATTTCGTATTAAGTATATTCAGAATAAAATTACCAAGTGTGATCTGAGAACTAAAGAAAAAAACCCACCTTTTTGAAAATTTTTTGGAAATGGAAAGATTGAGTGATGGTTTTCAATGGGAATAATCTGAGGAAAATGAAAATATAACTTATTAAATGTCTCCTATTATTTTAAAATACCTAAATACTTGTAATTAAAAATTTATCCTTGCTCTTTTGTAACTGGGGAACAAAAAAATGGAATTACAGTTTTAAACATTGATGTAACTTTTCCCCTAGTTTTGCCAATAAATGTAGATGTCCAGAGGTTCAGCCAAAGAGATGCTGCAAATTGGACAGAAATGGGGGGATTTAATCCCTTTCCAACATTCAGGGGGCTTTTAAAAAGCTGCATTTACAAGAAATTATTCTGTTTGTGGGTGTTTGTTGTGACATGAAAAACCAGCAGCATTGAAGAGATGAAAGTTCCGTGTTTGAGCTGGAATTCACAAGCCCTCCTGGGGTCCCTGAGCAGGAACTGTTGAGCTGTGATAACCCTCCTCATCTTAAAACCCAAGTTTTATAGGGTGATTAATGTAGTCTGGAATTATTTACTCGTCTAAACATTAGGAAAAGATTTTGTATTCTTAAAAAAAAAAATTATTTTCAGTGACATTTCTTCAACTGAAAGACTTTGCAAGTGCAAAGCAGTGTGTGCTGCCAGCACAGTTACAAAGGCTTTGGGCTTTTAATCCAGCTCCTTTTAATGCATTTTACTATAAATTCCTGTTTTAGTGCCTCTTGTGTCAGCACAGAGCAGAGCTGGGAGGTGTGTGGATTTTTAACTTTGCCTTTCTCTTATTTTTCCCCTTAAATGTGAACCTCTTACATTTCTGATGCTCATTTGGGACATAATTAAAACAGCCCTTAGAACAGTCTTAGAAGGTCCTCCACCTTCATCATCTCCAGGAATACTCATAAAGCAAATGTGTTTTAGATGAAGTCCCAGCCTTCATTGGGAAGAGAAAGGAATCTTCTCCATCCTTTTGAGTGTTCATGCCCACATTACAATATTATTAATTATTTTGCTATGCAGTAGTTAGGTTCTGTCCGAGGCCAATATTTAGTGGAAGGACACCAAGCAGCAGAAAAAAAAATAGATGAATAAAGTTATATAAACTGTTGAAGCCATTGGTGGGAAGATCTGCTCTGAGGTGTAAAGTTTCTAATCTTCTCCTCCTTCTTTAACTCCTCAGGGGTCCTTGTAACACAAATTAGGGTTATTTTCCTGTTAATTCCATGTGCAGGAAAACACCACTGGCTGCTGCAGCTGCTCCATGCCCGGCTCTGGAGGAGTTGTGCTCCATGAAATCCCCTGCAAATACTTCCTGGCAGGAAGCACTGAGGGGAACACAGGTTTTTTTCCCTGTACTTTATGGATAATCCCCTCTGGAGCAGCTCAACCAGCTGGGTCAGACGCTGCCCAGCCACCCAAGGCTCCAGGGAGTTGTTTGTGCAGGGAGTTGTTGTGAGGGTGGTGCATGAAAGGTGGTTAAATATGTTTTACTGCACTTGGATTTGCCACCTCCCGACCTTGCTGAGGCTTATTTCCTTTCTCTCCATGTCCTGGGAGTCTGTAAAAAGCTCCAGTGCTTCCCAGGAGGCTTTTGCAGCCACACATTAAATGTGGGTTTTGATGCAGGATGCAGAGGGCGTTTCCAATGGCCTGGAAAGTTGTGGGGTTTTTAAAATGAAAATTAAATAAAGAGGTAACTTCTATTCATCAAGGTTTGAATGAAAAAAGTAATATTCATTTAGATGTCACAAATGAAAAACAAAGAAGGAGGAAGAGGGCAGGAGCAGAGACTGTTCAGCCTGGATCCCCAGGACCCACTGCCCTTGCAGGGCTGCACATTCCTGGTGCTGAGGGGCTTCCCAAAAATATCCATATATGGAAAAGGAATGCATTCATCAGCCTGAAAATTAAGTTTTCTCGATTCCTAAGAATTTAATTCAATGAACATACCAAGAGGTCATTCCCTTTCTACTTTTCCTTAGCTTTGGGTCCCTGCACCACCACGCAAGCTGTGCCATCGAGCAAGGTGGGCATTGTCCTTACACAATTTTACAAGGTGTGCCTGGTCTTGCATGATCATACATGGTCCTTCCATCACTGTCCAAGGTGTTCCTGGTCCCTGTGTTGCCAGGTAAGGTGTGCATGGTCCCTGTGCCATCAGAAAGGTGTGGGTGGTCCCTGTGCCACCACGCAAGATGTTCCTGGTCCCTGTGGTGCCATGCCAGGTGTGCACGGTCCTTACATCATCAAGTAGGGTGTGTATAGTCCTTGCATCATCAAACAAGCCATGAGTGGTTCTTGCATCATCAAGCAAGGTGTGCACGGTCCCTGTGCCACCTTGTAAGGTGTGCATTGTCCTTACACCGTTAAACAAGGTGCCATGGTCCTTGCACCATCATACAGGGTGTGCACGGTCCCTGCAGCACCGTGCAGGAAGCACAAGACAGCAGCAGCCTCCCGTGTCAGCCTTCCTTGCCTAGAGCGGGGCACGTCCCCGAGAGCCGCCGCACCCCTGGTGCAGCCCTGGTTCAGCGGAGGCCCCGAGGGCCAGGCAGGCAGGGGCAGCAGCTGCAGAGCCCGAGGGCCGCGCTGAGCAGGGCCGAGAGCCTGGATGGGCGCTGGTACCGTCGGGCCCTCTTCACCTCGGCCTGTGCGGCGCAGTCGAGGGAGCGCAGCACGTGCTGCTCCACGCTGTCGGCCGCCCCGTGCTGCTGGGCCAGCAGCCCCTCCAGCTGCAGGAACAGCCCCCGCAGCTCCGCCATCTGCGCCTCCAGCTCCAGGAGCTGCCGCTGGCGCGCCTGGGCCACGCTGAGGTGGTGCTTGGCCTTGAGCTCCTCCAGGTCCTGGCCGACGATGCGCGGCCCCCCAGGGCTCTCGGCCAGCTGCTCCACGTCCTGAGCGCCCAGGGCGATGCCCGCCAGCTCCGCCTGCCTCTGGATCTGCTCCTTGAGGCGCTGGCGTAGCGGCTCTCCCGGGCGTAGTGGCGGGCGAGGACGGCGCCGAACCTCCTCACGAGCAGGCCAGAGCTGCGTCTGGCGCACGCGGGGCCGCTCGCCCCGAGCCGCCGCCGGGCCCGTGGGCAGAGCGCCAGCCGGGGCTGCAGGGCGCGGCCTGGCGGGCGAAGGCGGCTCGGGCGTCGCCCAGGCCCGTTCTCCCGGGCCATGCTCTGCTCCGAGGTGCAGCACAGCACCGTCTGCTGCGTCCTGTCGATGGTCTCCGAGAGCTGCTCCAGCTGGTCCAGCGCCCGCCACAGCTCGGCTGCCTCCTGCAGCACCCGCCCCACGGGGCTGGCGTCATCCCCGGCCAGTGCCGGGTTGTCGAAGCCCATGGTGTCCTCGTGCGGGTCCCCCTCGGCCGCCACGCGCTGCCGCAGCTCCGCCAGACGGTCCCTCATGGTCCGCAGGGGCCTCCGGCACCGTCCGTGTGGCACAGTAGCCTGGCAGGGGAGGCGTGAGGAGCCAGAGCTCCCACGGCAACAGGAGCCGTTCGAGCCTTTCCCTCCCGGCACCCAAGCAAATATTGATGGAGGAGGGAAGGTATCCTGCGTCAGCTCGAGGCAGGACAGGTTTGTCCAAGAAGCCGAGCGGTGGGAAGGCCTGGAGAGGGAGTGCTGCCAGCACCGCTGGCACCTGCGTCACGGGACAGGCTCTGCTGCCTCAGCACCTCACCCTCCGAGGCCTCACACAAAGACACTTTTGTTCACTCAGAAACAAAGACATGCAGACATCTGGGGGTAGGTGAGGAGGACACCCACCCGGCTCCTGAAATGCCTTCACACGGCTCCAAAGGATAAAGGTGCACAAACACACCTCAGACCTCACAAAGTACCCCCAAAACCTGCTCCCAGTGAGGATGGTACAGCTGAAGGGCAACTCACCCAGGACCACACAGAATATGCTGGGTTGGAAGGGATGCATGAGGATCATCAAATCCCATCCTTAGCCCTTCACAGGACACCCCAAGGGTCACACCATGTGCCTGAGAAAATTGTCCAAATGCTTCTTGCACTCGAATCATCCCACTCCAGTGCCTGTTGAGAACTGGAAAGGTGGGATGGAGGCAAAGCTTGGCCTCCTCCTCCTGCAGGAAGGTTCCATGGGACCACTGATGGCACAGGCAGTGTGTGAAGCGTTGTAATGGTGGATGGAAAAAGGTGCTTTAGGGGTTTCCAGGCTGGAAATGAGCACTGGGTTGACCAGCTGTGCTGCATATTCAGGGAAGAGCAGGTTTTAGTCCACGTGCTGCTGAAATGTATAAAAATCACAACTAAATCTATAAAAATTATCAATAAAAATACTGCTATAAAATGCATTTCTGAAGTGCACAGGAAGAATAATTGAATTGTTCTCTACCACTCTGGTATTTTATATCATGTATTTTATAACATATGACCTAAACAGGATGATATAAAGTATGTAACAGCTATGATATAATATCAACATAATATTTACAGAGGGACAGCAAAGGGGCATTTGGCAAAGGTGAAGCAGCTCTGAAGGGAGCAGAATTCCTTCCCTCCAATGCCATGTGATGGATGTACACAGTGAGGGGGCTCCAGTATCTCTGCAAAACAAGTTTAATTTTGTTCTCTGTAACCAACATGGCCAAGAAATAAAAAAAAAAAAAAAGCCCTTTTGTTCCTGGGGCTTGGAGGATGAGTGTTGTGTTAAAAAGCAGATATTCATTCCCATCAGAGAGGAAATGCCACTGGAATCAGTGCAATAAAGTGAAATGTCAAATAAGTCACAGGATTAAGGAGAAAAGTCAAAACAGACTCACAGAAACACAGAAACATTGAGGGTGGAAAAGACCTCTGAGATCATCAAGCCTAGTCCATGCCCAATCCCCACCTTGTCACCCAGGTCAGAGCACTGAGTGCCACGTCCTTGGGCACCACCAGGGATGGGGACTCTACCACCTCCCTGTGCAGCCCCTTCCAATGCCTGACCACCCTTTCCAGGAAGAAATTCTTCCCAAGTTTATTCAGTGTATTTAGTGTCAGCTCCCCGGCCGAGCCCGGAGCCCCCTGGCAGTTCTACATAAACCCAGCCCCATCCACCCCCAAGAATCCCTGGTTAAACAATATTATCACTGCTATTTAACAAGAGGGCAAGAACAGAGATGAAAAAAAAGAGCATTTCCTTGTTTTGCATGAAATAGCCCTTAAAAAACAGGTAAAACCTCCTGGAGCTGAGACTCACCCCCTGAACCCACCCTGGTCCCACAGTGGCCAAGGGAGCTGGTCCAGGAGCCTCCTCCTCACCTGCTCATTTCACAGCATTTTTAGCCATTTCACAGCATTTTAAGGCATTTTTCACTTCTTCTTCCAAGAAATCATTACTTGCTCCTCTCCTTTTTCCCAGAAAAATGGTATTTTGGAGCCAGGTCAGATGGTGATTGGGGTAACAGATCCCCAGTGAGCTGCCACACTCACCTCTGGCTAAGGTGAGGGTCTCCATCCCATCCTGCTCAACATCTTCCCACTTTTTAAAAGCTTCTATATCCACTTTCTAAAAGTTCCTATATTCAGTTTATAAAACTTTTAAAAGCATAAAATCATCCAGTTGAATAAAAAAGTGATTTTCTTTTTACATTAAAAACTCAATTTCACCAATTTTTTTGTATTTTTTTAACATCTCAACTATTCAGGAAACAATGCAAACCCAAAAATAAGAGTTTCTCTTTTTATTTTTTTTTTATTAAGACAATCCCACAGCTGGAAAATGAAACATCCTAGATTACATCAGTGACTTCAAAAAAACTCTAGAAAAAAATCTTTACAAATTTACATTTGTACAATACAAAAAACTAACAGCTCATTGCATATAAATATTACATTTGGTCTGCCAACACGTGGCATCAAAATCCCTGAAGTATTCATTAAAGGGACCTGAGATAGCAGATGTGAAGATATGGGCATAAATATCACCTGAAAAAAAAAATTAATATAGAAAGTAGACATAATTCTAATAGTTTTGTGCATTTTTGGAGTATTTTAAATCCAGAACATGACCTGGAGAGCCTAAATCACGTGAATTCTGTAGTATTTCTACATGAAATCTGCTCTAATGGAGGAATGAAGAGCCTGAATTAGTATTTCTACAGAAAAAGAATCCTCAGACGTTGAGTTCTGAGCACACCCGAGCAGCCACCACTCTGCCAGGAGGCATTTTAAGAAAAGAAACAGTGGATTTGGATTTTACTGGGAATATTCCGGCAGGATTTCACCCCCACCCCCCACCCAGGCAACACCTGACAGACCTAAAAATCAGGAAGATCCGCAGCACTTGCCAATTAAATCCCCCAAACTGAGGAACTGCTCCAAATTGTCCACTGGTTGAAACATCCCCCAAATATTTACACGCTTCCCAGTTCCCCAGTGTGGCTCCGGTTACTAGCAGGAGTAGTAACTCCAAGCGCTCGCTTTCACTTGGAAGTCTCACAAACTCCTCTCAGGGACCTGCACCCACCCACTCCAATGTATTTCAGCACCATTTTTCTAACACTAAGGTTAAGGTTGTGACAGCAATTCCACTGGGAATCTCATTTTTCAGGGATTCGTAGCACTGTTGTGTAAATTTGCTGTGGGCCGAACAGGACAGAGTAAAAATCTACAAGATTCCAACGGGTCTTTGCATTTCTAAGACTAAAAAAAGGACAGGTTTTGGACTAAATTTTGCAGGCTGTTACTTAGTGTACAGAAAGGAGTTCTTTTTCCCTGTGTAAACCTCAGATACACTAAAGATTTGGGAATTATGTCTCGCTCATGCACAGGAATCTTCTATAATACACACTGTAAGAACACAATGACAGCTCCCTATCTACTAAATATAGGTTAGCTTTGGGTGGTTAACTGCTCCTTTAGGAAATATTCAGCATTTTATAAAACTTTGCAGGATGGTTTTGAAATAAAAAGATAAAATTAAGAAATGTAAACACACAAAGACATTTTTAACCCATTAAATCCATGACAGGATGCTCCAGGTCAGGACACGACACCCTTAAACCTACAGTTGTTCACTTTTCCTTGTTGTTCACCACTCAAAGATGAAATATAATCAAGTTCTTATTAAAATTAATGATTGTTAATCTCATTTTCTCACATTAATACTCTGCAATTTGGAGTGGTTGGCAAAAACATTCCCGAGACAACCAGGAACAGCTTTTCCAAATGCTTGGCAAAGTTCATCTTGCTTTTGGGAGTCAAGAGAGCCTCCAAATATTTTAATTTTTTAAATTAAAAACTCTCTACTACACACCCAGTGTCAGCTCTTTTCCAGTACTACTCAGTCCTTCCACTTCCATGCAGGAGAAGCAGCTGAGGTGGACACCAAGGAAAAAATTCCAGGAAAATCACAACAGGACGCAAAATTTTAAGCAGCCATGATTCTGTTTAGCTTTTGTGTCTGCAGGGTGGGGGTGGTTGGGATAAGGGGGCAGCCTCTGCTTGGTTGATGGAGAAAGGAGTGATGGAAAGAGGAAGGAAGGATAAAACTGCCCAGGATCCATTGAAATTCAAGCACCAACACAAAGGTTGTTTAGAACAGGAATACCTGGAGAGGCTGGAAGCACAGGAATTCTACATGGGAGACATAAGCCCAGGCCAGGAGCACAGGTATTCCAGGATCCCAAGTGAACTGTGTTTTCCAAGGCTGAGGAAAGGATGTGCTGCCTCAGCTGACCTGGCAGTGGTCCCACTCTGGGTATGGATGGCCACAGAGGTGCAGCCAAGAAACAATCCTCAAACTTTCCATCTTCATTAAATCTGCCTCCAGACATTTAGGAATGTTGCTAGTAAACACAATAAGGCAGATATAAAAAATATGGAAAGTCTTGGGGAAAAAGAGGGATAAAAGAATTAAACTTTCCAGCCAAGAAGTCCAGCCAAAATAAAATTCATCATAAATCGTCTACAAAGGGAAGCCAAAGGGGAGAGGTGGGACATGGCAAAAAGGAAAATCAGAAGTGATAGAGAAAATAGAAAGCAGGCAAAATTTGGGCTGAATCATGGAATCATTAAGGTTGGAAAAGCCTTCCAAGGTCACCTTCCAAGTCCAACCTTCGACTGAATCCCACCATGGCCACTGAACCACATCACCAAGTGCCACATCTGCTTATTTCCTGAACACCTCCAGGGACAGTGGCTCCACCACTGCCCCGGGCAGCCCATTCTGCCCTAATATCTGAGACAACAGCACATCACTACTGCAAAATAAGCTTTGTCATCCATGCCCTGGTCCAGGAAGACACGGGAGCACTGCAGGGACAGCAGATTGGAGCTGGGAGAGGCCAAGAGCAAAGACACAAGATTCCAGCCCTATCTCCAAGGAGAATGGATTGTGTGGGGCTGAGGGTCCATTTTCCAAGGTGCCCTGAAGTGCGCTGGCAGCTCAGGATTGGGATCATGCCAGCCTGACCTCAGAGGGAACAGAACCACCAAAGCCCAAACATCTACAGCAGCAGAGGAGCCCCTGGCCTGCCTGCACACCCCCAACAATCCCAGAAAAATCACACCTTAAATCCCATTCCTTAGGCAGAGTTTGGAGTTCTTTGTAAAGAGCGCAAGGAAACGTGTCAGGAAATGTTCCTGACTCTGCAGCCTGCCTGGAGCTCAGCACCTTCTGGAGTTGCTGGCTGAGCACCCAGGGGTTGGGTCAGGGAGACCTTTAGATGGTTTGAATCACTTTCCTGCTTCTGCCACACCTGGTGGGCTCACCCTGAGTTTTCTACAACCTCCTGACAGGAGCTGGGATTTGAGAGAAAGCGTCCAAGGTCCTACAAAAGTAATTATTCCCTGGAACGAGGCTGTGAGAAATCAACTGCCCAACTCAGAGGAAGAATCGAGACACAAACCAAGCAAAAAGAACAGCTCTAAACCCGAGTTATTTCTGTCATGCTTATAAAAGGTTCTCATGCACCAAAAAAAAAAAAAAAAAAAAAAAAGAAAAAAAAAGAAGCTTTTTTTCAATTTTTACACTAAATTCTGTTGTTCCAGCACATCCTGCTCTAGCTGGGAACCATGGGACACATGGAGTAATACTTACGCCACAGCAAAGTGATGCTTCACTGGTATCTTCACAGGACATAGAAAAGATACAGTTAAGAACATATTTAATCTTATTCTAATTGCTGCTAAAATACATCAGCTTATAAAATGGTTTCTCTGGAATCCCTGTGGTTTATCTCTCCCCAGCCCCTACACAAAATAAATAAGGAGTAAGTGGATTTTCGGCCAGTCAGAAAGAGAGGGGAAAAAAAAGCATTTGTTTTGCATTTCAAGCTTTTCAGGCTTTAGGACAGAACCCCTAGTGTTTACATTAGCTCACAGGACTCATCTAAGGATATGATTTTGACTATGGACTGATGCATACATGCTATTCCTGGTTACCATATGTAAAAAGACCAATCAGTCAAACAAATAATACATTTCTTATAAATATAAATGCGTGTATATATATACAGATATATGAGAAAGATGATAGGACAGGTGTTTATACTTTAAAGCCCAACAGAGATCTAGGAGAGCCTTTGCACTTGTTTCCCACCCCCTACCCCCCCATCAAAACCAGAATTGAGTCCAGCAGTGGATTACGGCTGATTCCAACCATTCCTTAAAAAATTAAAAGTGTGATTTTTGTACTGTACCATAAATTCATATTAATGAGCAGTTTAGGATATACTCTCCTTCATCACAAAACTAAACCTCTGCTTTTTTTTTTTTTTCAAGTCATTTTTGCATCTAACTAGAGTTGGTTTTTTTTGGAAAGTGAGATAAAATAGCTAGTGCTGAATATAGAAAGTCAAAAATTAAATTCCTTCTGCATCTGAGAATATACATGGGTCACTCTTTGCTGCCTGAGGTTTTCCAGAATTATTGACCAAGCTGTGCACAGAAGAACTGAAGGATATTGGATGAAAGTTTAAAAAAAACCTAAAAACCTTGAAAAACTCCAGCGGAACTTTGTAGCCTCTTTTTGTTTGTTCTCTCTGTGACCTGACTCACTCTCGGAGCTGTCAGATCCGTTTGGACAACGGGAGAAAATTGAAGTCCCATATATATTCCAGCCAGAGCCCAGGAAGGAAGGAAGAGGCTGCTCAGCTCCAGCTCAGCCCACGCCAAGCGCCCAGTTCTGCTCCTGAAGGAGCCAGAGCACCAATCTCCTCACAAACTGCACTACCAAAGGGTTTCAAGTCAGCATTTCCCAGGATAACAAGAGTACAGTGCAACAGGAATACTCTTCTGGAAGCTTGAGATACAAGAGTCAGTCTGGAGGGTTCTGTACCGGCATGGCCAGAGGGAGCAGGGCTCCCCCAGCCCCTCATCCAAACCCACATTTTCACAGATCAAGGGGCAGCAGGAAGGAGTGGGAGCAGCTCAGCCCCTCTGCACAAACAAATCCCCACCTGCACAGAACGTGCTGCTTCTGAGAACTCTGGTAACCACTGAATTGGTTTTCATGGTGACAAGAGAATGAAGATACAGTTACTCTACAACTTCCACCCCTCAAGCTCCTTCTCGCCTCTTCAACATGCACTGAATAACAGCATCTATTTTCTTTTCAGTTTCCAGTAGTTGTAAATAAGAGGTAGCTGAGCTACTATTAAAAATCACTTTATGCTTTGAAGAGGAGGAACCTTTCAAATGTTGAAGTCACCCCTTTAGCTGCACAATCTCAATTAATACTATAAAAATATGAGAGGACAAAAAGAAAATAGATGCAAGTAACTTTTGCATTTGGCACCTTTTGTCTAGATATTCATACTTCTCAAGTATTCTCTTTTTAATAAAGTTAATGCACACATAGGACACACCACATCAAAGGTTTGCTACATATTTACAAGGCACCAACCCTTTTGTCACTTTTTTACACGAATAAAGAACCGATAGAAAGCACATCAGGACCCCCAAAACTGTAGTATAGACATACTTCAGTTCAGCACAATTCCATCAACGTTTGGCCTGGGAAGATTAAAATAATCCAGATCCTTCTTACAATATAGAAACTGTAAACATTTTATAGCTGCCTTTAGGATTGGTGTATTGTGCAAAAGTTATAATTATTACTGTGTCTAAGGATTTATGGCAGAAACCACATAAAAACTCTGTAAGAAGGTGCTATTTCTATAATACAAAAACAAAACGAGGGAGAGAATTCATAAGCGTGACTCAAAAATGTCATGTTCTTACTGAGAAGCTGGAAGCCTCTTTAATGTGATGAACTCGTAGTGTGTGGGGAAGAATTTCTGTAATTTAAGGCCTAATGACTAAGGCTTGTTTTGACCAATGAAGTGTGGAGAGCTGAAGCTTTAAAACAAACACAAACTGACAGGATGGAAAAGCACCACTGTGAAAACGTGAGTGGAGTCCCCGCACAACTTGCTTGGTAGAATTTCTGGTAAAATCCCTGCAGTAGAAGGCCATTGAAGTTCTTTTAAAATTGTTCCAAAGTTTTCCACCTGTCAATAATTCCATCCCATGAGATGGCTGACCCTGGCTTTTTCTGTCATTTTGCGCACCCTGCCTGACCTGGAGGTACCAAGGTTCAACGGATCCTCGGTGTGCACGAAGGTGTCGTTGTCGGAGTCATCGTTGTACAGGACAGTCCTCCTGCCCTCGTTCCTGGTTTTGATCCGAGGGGGGCGGCTGAACCTCCCCCCAAACACGTTCTCTCCAAACTGGCCCCCAAACAGGTTCTCAAACTCGTCGTCGGCGATTCGGGCGCGTTTCGCTCTGGTGGCTCCTCGCGAGGCCCCTCGGCCTCCGCGGCCTCTCCTTCCTCCCCTGCCGCCGCCTCTGCCTCTGCCGCAGCCTCTTCCACCTCTCCCCCTCTGCCCCTCTGCCTCCCATCTCCCCACCTGCCCATCTCCCCCTCCTCCCTGTGCCCCTGCCCTGCCAATTCCTCTTCCCGGCGCTGAGTTTCCGTTTGATTTTCCGTTTGGGCTTTTTGGATTGCACCACTTTGCTGTAGTCATGGTCTCCGTCAATGTAATCCTGATCTGTCCTGGAGGTTGATTCCGAGTCGGAATCAGAGCCACTTCTGCTTTCAGAGCTGGAGCTGGATCCCGATTCCCCACTTTCTGATGAAGACAAACCAGACTTTTCCTTTAATTCTCTCTTCTTTTCCTCCTCCTCTGCCTCCTCCAGGTGCTCGTCCTCCTCCGACGCGCTCAGTAACTTCCTCTTGACTCCTGCCCGAGGCTCTCTGCCATCTCCATTGGTGAGGGGTCCATCAGGAGAGTGATCTAAGCAAACACAAAAAAACCCCATCAGCATCACACCTGAGCCAAACAGGACACAAAGAGTGGGACTGGCCTCAGCTGCCTCTGGGATTCTCCTCAGCTGCCTCAGGTGTGCTCTGGGGATGATCCAGCTTGGAGCTACTCACCCTTTATGTGCTGGGGACACAAAGAGGTGCTCTAAGAGGAAAATTTATCAAAGTAAATGTAGTTCTTATCTGGAAGCAACAACTTCAAACTCTCCTGACTAAGAGTTCAGGGAAAATCCAGGCAATAAAAGGAGCCCAGAGTGAACATCTAAAACTCAATCTGGTGAATCCCACCAAGGCAGGAAAAACTCTCAAATCCATTTCAAAGCTATATAAATGAAAATAACACTCTGCAAGCAGGATTTATTGCCCCTCAAATGCATCTTCTCAAAAGGCTGAGTCCAGGGAAGCATAATTCAGGAGAGTCAAAAACCCAAGAAAGCTCACTAGGATTGCTGGGCATCTTAACTTAAAAATACATAAAATATCTTGCTGGTGTGGGACTCACAATCCTACATGTTTTGAGAGTTAAGAATCTGATAATGACGATTCAATATCTTCTTTAACATAGGAAGAGCTCACCTGCAGCATCCAGCATGGCTACAGCACAGGGGTGTGGACTTGGGAAAGGCTCCAGGGGTCAGGCAATGCCCACTCAGTGCCCACCTCAGTGCAAACTCTGAGTGACATGTCCCAGAGACAACTTATCAAAGCTTCAAACAGTGTTTCCCTTCCAATCACAATCACTTTGTCTTGAGTAGAATAAAAATATTTACATTTTGGGGGGAAACTTTTTTTCATCTTTGGTTTCAACTTGATTAATAAAAGGAGGTTGTGGGGTGGGGATGCCTTTGGTTTGTTTGCTATTTGTAAGTCCTGAAGGAACTGTAGGAGTGTAAGAGCAATCAAGCTTTTCCACCTGGAGAGATTTTAAAGGATCTCACTGAAGTCCACGTGGAATCATGTGCACTCCACACCTCAGACAAGAGACCACAGAACTGTGAGGAGTAAAGTAAACTCAACTTCTTTTGTATGGTTTGGGAATATATGTAATGTTACACTCAGGCAATAATACCATCAACATCAGAGAGAAGGAACATCTTTCACCTCTAGTGAAACCAGTTATTCAAACAACAGAATCTTATTATTTCTCACCTTGTTTCACTGGTGTGGATTTACTCCTGACTGGCCTGCTTTTCCCTGGATCTATGGCATTTCCACTTCGGTTCTGTGCATTGGAGCCTGAGGAAGATGGTTGACCCTCCAGCTCTTCACCAGTGGCTGAACCCAGAGGTTCTTCTGCTGTATCTGAAACTTTACACAGGACAGCACAACGTGACAGAGTGATTTTTATCCTCTATTTACAGGGCTGGGGAGGTTTTGGATCACCTCAGTTAACAGCCCCAGTCAGGTTCATCTCACCAAGCTGCCTCTACAGCCATGAAGGGACAGATTCCTTTTGGTATAATCCAAAGTAAGATTAATTTACCCAAAACTGCTGTATGAGAGAAGCCCATGTACAGGAAGCCCAGGCTCTGGGGACTAGGTTAATTCTCACTAAGGCTCCCAATTCCCTGATCCTTACCCATAACTTCCTAACAGCCAAGTTCAGCTAAAACAACCTACAGACAACACATTTCCATGACCTTGCCACTTGCTCCCTCCTCAGGTGTGTTTAGCATGTGCCTCAGGAATAACAGATCCAATCTGCACACACAAGTAGGCTGTACTTTAGAACATTCCTCCTCACCATGAGATGAGACTGAAGAGCTCGTCCTGGTCAGGGGCAGTGAGGTATTCTGGTTGGGTTTAGGTTGAATCTTCATTTGTTTCTGCTTCCCTTTGGGGCTGAAAACACAAAATATCCCAAAGAGAGAAAACTGTCAGCACCAAAAGACTCAAAGACAAAACCAATTTCCCCTGCAAAGTGCCTTGATTTTTGCAGCGAATTTATCAAACAAATATCTTTTCCCCAGTGCTCACACTGTTGTAATAATACTAAAAATAGTTACACCACCATGTGTCTGCTAAAGCAGATGAGTTTGCAGGAACAACACTTTATCTCCCTTTTTAAAACCAATACTCAGTTTACTTAGATAGTGTATCAGACAGAAGGCTGATATACAGTGTTAAACAACACTTTTTTCAATTAAACAAAGGTGAAGAGACAGTTGGTCTTTCATTTCCTCCAGAGGGAATAACTGTAACCACATAGTCTTTCACTTACCAGAATTATGCACAAACTACACTTGAACAGGATTTTATCACCCAAAAGAGCAGCTGCAGCAGGAAATGAGCAATACTGTTGCTGTCTGGTTATCCTACCACTGTTCCCTGGAATGCCACTGCCAGGCAGTCCCACTCTCCCACATTACCTGGATGCTCTGCTGGTTGAGGGGGAGCTGCTGCTGCTCCTCAGCCGTTTTCGGTACCGTGGCCTCCTCCTCTTCTGACACTGCATTGCTGCCTTGTACTCAGAGATGATGTTCTTCATGTGATTCTCAAATAAGGCAGAGAGTCGAAGGGTCATGCTGTAAATCTGGAGTGAGAAAGCACAGTCAGACTTAGCAGAAGTTCAGTAACTTGGAAGAACAACCAAAAAACAATCACCAAGATGTCCGGACTTTGTAGCACAAAGGAAGAATTCATGGTGACATTTCACTATGAGGTCCTTTGCAGATAATTTCCTTCTGTATTCTCGCCACAGAAAGTGTTTTCCTAAAAGGATTTACTTCCAGTACAAAATATTTCCAGAGTAAAAAGAAAATTTCATATCTAAATTACTGGAATATAACCTCCTTTGTCAACCCCATAAAGCATGGAAGAAGCAGCCCATAAGATAACTTGAATACCAAGGGAAAAACAAATGAATTTTGCTGTCCCCTCACCTTTGTTTTTGCTTTAATTCCCTGGTGAAATGTCTTAATTCCACCCCTACACAGCTGCACACAGAAGCCAACTACAATGTCCTCATTCCTAATTTCTGTAAACCAGATGTCACAATCTTTAGACCCTTTTCCTGCCCTCTCTCTAGGCCTTGTCTCTGTGTAGCCTCAGCCACAAGTTCACTCCTGGCTGTTCCTCCATTGCAATTATTACAATTTTATGTCTGAAAACACGGTCAAAACTCTGTCTGCTTTTATACCATGAAGACACCAACCACTCCAGCTCTGTTTTGCACCAACAGTGCTAAAACTGCATCTGTCCTGGTGCCAACTTGTGATTTTTTTGAGGATAAATATCATTAAAGCACTTGAAAATTTTAGAGTAATTTGATCATTAAACATCTTAGGAAAAGCTGACACAGGAACACAGATCAAACACAGCCATGTTTACATATCAGTCACATACCAGTTGTCATTTTACTTAGTTCATACAAAAATATCTATACTCCAACATTTTGATCTCCCTTTTCCCTCATTCCATATCCTCCTTAGGGCTTCAATCCAATACATTTTTTCTGCCTCTATGTCCAAACAGCAAAAAGCAGGATTAGCACCTGAGAAACACAGGCAACAGTGTGCAAAAAGTACTGCCAAATATTCTAAGTCAACTAGAAAAAAATAAGTATCTCATCTCCTCTGGTAGTAGAAATATTGCATCATATTTCCATTAATTTGAAAAGGATCCTTTTGTAGACAGATGGACAGAGATAAATATGCAGTTTTCAAGCTGATAGCCTTGTTTCCAAGAATAAATTATTGAAAAAAATAAAAGCACCTTGTGATCGGTTTTCTGCTGCAAATATTTCAGGAAACAGCTGCAACACTAAACATCTCAGAAGCTTTAAGTTCAGAAAGTTCAGATGAAAATGAAAGTTTTAAGTGATCTGGGTGAGCAGAACAAAGCAAATTTATAAGCACAGGCCCCAGAATTGATATACACTGGTTATTTTTATTACACCAAGCAATGCTTTGCTCTTCAGACATTATTCCATGTGTTTTATTCATGTAGGGCCAAGGTCTTTGTGAAAAAAAAAGGGCATTAAAATTTATTACTTACACGAGACTTTTTATTAGGAGTGTAAGCCTTAGAGTTGCAGAATATCAAACGAATGTCTTTGTAGAATTCCAAGGGACTGGTGTAGTTTCCTGCTTCCAAGGTTTCTTTCACAGTGCTGAAGTCCATGGGAGTGTCTACAATGTCTCGATAATCCTGGAAGGACACGAAATAGTAAAGGCTGATGAAAACAGCAAAGGCTGTCAAATCCTACAGCAATAAAAGCACCTCAGTGTTCATCCAGTGGCTCAAGTAATTATTTTACTTTTGAGTTATTGCAGATAATTCTCTGCTCATAAAGGGAGAGCACAGACACGGATGTTTTGCCAAAGGATGAACCATTTTGGATGTGGAAGGTGCACTTACAGGATAAGAGAAGAGATCAACAGGCTGCCTAAAAGGCTCTGAGTCCTCTCGTTCATAAATCAGGTTTAGCAGCTGCTGGCACTGCTCCTTCCAGGCATCAGGACTGGCTTTCATGGGCTGCCTCTTCACTCGTCGTCTCACCTGCAGGGAAACAGAAATTACCAGAAAATTCCAATTTTCCCCTTCAATTTCCTATTAATTTCCTAGCATTCTGATTCAAAGATCTCCACAACTAAAAACAGAAATCCAGGAAGATTCAAGCAAAGCTGATGGCCCAGTTTGGCTTTTCTGGTCATATGTAGCACTCACACCCAAAACTCAAAGTTGCAATATTTCAGCCCCAGCCTCGCTATTTGTATCAGTTTTATCTAAACTTGACTGTTGTTGATATTTTTCAAATCTAATATAAAAAAAAAAGATCAAAGCAGAAGTTTTACTCACTCTTCTTTTCCCAGAGGAAGTTCCTGGAGCGTCTGAATCCACATCTACTTCTGCCACCTAAAGGCAAAGGGAATGATCACACACAGGGCCTTGGATGGACCCTCAGCCACGGAAAAAGGGTTAAAAAACAGCCAACAACAACAAATAATTTAAACTACTCAAATGTAACAAATGGCTCAAGAAAAGCAGAAACTAATTTCAAACTAGAATTTACGTAACTCGATCCACCTGATTCCTGATTTTAAGCTGTTTCATGCTTTTTCCAAGTTTGCTTCCATAAAAAATGATACATAAAAACATATGAGAAATAGGAATGGCTGATTTTCAGTCCTTAAGACTCAGCTCAGTTGCAGCCTTGCAGAGCTTCATTACCCTGCCTCAGTTTTCATGCTCTGAGCAGCTGCACTGAGTTTATTCAGGTTTCATGCAGTGCCTTACATCAGGTGGGTGTAATATTCTTTTCAGAACCTGGATTTAGGAATTACAACAAAAATTCCTTTGTACACAGCTTTTACCAGTAATTAAATATAAATAATTTTTGAGAGGACTCCACTAGATCAGGTTGCTCCATCCAACCTGGCCTGGGACACTTCCAGGGTTGGGGCAGCCACAGCTTCTCTGGGCAACCTGTGCCAGGGCCTCCCCACCCTCACAGGGAAGGATTCCTTCCTAACATCTAAAAAATATTTAAACTTTTAAAATATTATAAAGCAAAACACATTATAAACCAGCTCTTTGGAAGGCTGGAGAGAGGAAGGTGATATGGAGGGAATTTTGGTCACTTCTGAGATTCAAAACTGAGAGTAGAAGGTTGAGTTGGGAAAGGGGGGTCTGCTATTTTACCATGGAAATCTCTCATTTTCTTCAAAATACTTTTTTCACAGTCTGTGAAAACAGATGGTGTTATTCCATCTTCAGTTTTATAAAATAATGAAATTATTTCACTGTAGCACAGACTTTAATTTCAACACAAACCCAAGACAGCAGCACCAGCCCCAAGCAAACAGGTGCTCAGGCAGCACCAGGTTTAACTTTCATATTTCCAATTTGCCACAAAAGAGAATGTCTCAGGGAAGAAACCTCCTCACTAAATCTTATACTACCTTGTGTATTAGAAAATAACACTGAAAAGTAAAACCCAAGCGATTTAGGTTGAAACAGGTCACTTTGCAACAGGAACTACAGCCCATTTCAAACTGCATTGAAGGGGAGAAGGTGCAAGGAGAGAGAAAAAGCTCAAGGAAGTGATATCTGGGCTCTACCTGACATTTCACTCCAGGGAACAACGGATGGGAAACGACACAGAATTACACATGAAAACCATCTCTGCTGCCTTGCTGGCAATGGGGAGCTGTTGTCCTCTGATTGAGTAACAGCTCCACTTCCCAGTCCCCTAATTACTCATCCTTCCCCACACAACAAAACACCATGTACTGGGAGCAGATTAAAGACAGGCAGTTCCAAGAATCATTTTTACCTACTTAAGGGAGCTTATTGTCCCAGGTGAGCCTGAACAGGCTCATCTCAAAACCTCAGTGCAATTACCCAGAAAATAAAGCCTCAACAAAAATCAAATTTCTTGCACGTGCTGAACTTCAGAAGGCAAGAAAATGATCTTACCTCCTCTTCTTCATCAGTGCTGCTCAGGTCTTCTGCTTTCACCTTGTTATAGATCTCTAAGATATCAGTGCAGCTCTGATCTCTGCAGGACAGTGACAAAAACCAAGATACACAATCAAATCCCTCAGGAACTCAAAGCTGTGGGGGCTGTGAGGTCCAAACCTACCCAATGAAGTGCAGTAACACGTCTGTCACAATTTTGGCTGCTTTGACTATGGGACTGTCTGGCTCGTTGAAGGTCCTGGCATTGTGTTCAATGTATCTGACCTCCCACATCAGTGCAGAGATTCTCCTAAAAACACAGAAAATATAAGAAATGGGATGAAGAAGGAGGTGTGGATTGTTTTCCCTCTGAGATCAGTAGGATTCTGCAGTAAAAAAAAGGAATTGGGGATTCAGAGCGAGGAGAAACGGGTGGTCCTCAGAGGGAGAAAAATGATCAGGATGTTATTTATTCCACTTCACAGCATTTAGCCCATTTCTGGCAACTGCAACACCAGCAAAACCTCTGGTTCAAAGGCAGCAGGGATGGAAACAAAGCAAATATGCTCTGCCTCCACCACGGAGTGAGGCCCAGGATGTTAAACACACTCCAGATCCAGCCATACCGGCTTTTGCCTTTACAACCAAAAGGAATTTATTATTCAGGAAGACTCACTTTGCCCAAGGCCAAACAGAATCCTATCTGATGCTGTTGCTCATGTTGCTGGAGGGGCATTACAGAACATTCAGCTCAGGATTGCCCTCCGTGGGGCTGTAACAAACGGAGATTACAAACAAACCCGAAGCCAACTGACCTATAAAACCTGTTTTCAAGTCTCCTCCTGATCGTGGTGAGGTCAGTTGGATAAGCAACGACAGTGCAATACATGGGATAGGCACTAAGGTCCACTGGGACTGCAAAGGGATTGGAAATGTCTGCAAGACAAAAGACCAAAATCATTCAGATGCCTCAAAGGGATGTTACACGATATCGATATTTCTTTTAATGCTTTCTGGGTTTTCTTTCTAAGAATTCAGCAAAAGCAATCCAGATCTACAGCTGGAAATGTCATTACACAAAGGGGACAGTTCTTCCTCTTGTGCCATCTGTTAAATACTCTCGAAAAAGCACTTTTTGTTTAAGTATCACATCTGAGGTTTGTGTGTCAGCAGCCAAATGTGCCACTGAAAGGAACATGCATATCACTTACAACAGGAATGCTACAAGAAGTAATATAAGTTAGGAATACAGACGTGTCCTGGGTGTAAATATAGGCAGAAATTAAATCACAGTGTGCTATTAAATGGCTACAAACTATTTACAAGGGATTTGTTGGTGAGGATGTTCAGTGAGGATGTGTTGGTTGGTTTTGAGGGGTTTAATTCAATGTTTTGCTCATTCACATTTAGATATGACCCACTGAGAACCCCCATTGAAAGAAACCAGGTGAACCCCTGGGGAAAAAAGGAATATAACTTTAAAGGAAATTGAAATATGAAATTTAAAAGGCTCTTTTCAGTAATTTAGTTTACATTTCAAATATTCCACACCAACTCCCAACACTCCATCCCATCTACTCTTCAGTCATGTGCCACCACATGATATTCTGATATTAATATACTGATATTCTTAATCCTTCCACCCCTTCTCTCCAAACATACCAAGGGAAAGAAGCTGCTCAATGCCACGGATCACTCGTTCACATTCTTCATCTCTGGAATGGGCCCCCCATTCTCCTTCCTGGGGTTTGTAGAGAAGAGCTGTCAGCTCCTCTGGAGTCACAGGAACTCCAGCACCAACCTCCTCTGGATAGGCAGCTGGAAAGGGAGAATTCCACAGGCAGTAAGTCCCAGCAATGGCAAAAAGCTGCTTACTTTGCACAGGAACATGAGTTCAACACTTACTTCCTTCTGGGATTGGTTCCATGTCCCAGGGACTCATCCTCTCTCTTTCATTATTGTCCCAGCTATTAAAACAAATACATTCAAAATGCACAAGTTAAAGCTGAATATAACAATGCACCTTCTCTTTACCAGATTTACACCATGAAGGTCATCCCTGTTAGGAACAAGACCTGTCACTGACAACATTCCAACTCCTTATTTTCCTCTTGTATCCCCTCTACAGTCACTGCACTGCTGTTTACACCAGAAGTGTTGCTTTAGGAATAAATTCAAAATTAAATAAGTAAATCAAGTGGCTGGTTATTTATTTAAATGGTAAAAAGAGATGCTGATGCCTGAGGTACCCATTTGAGTTGTATGTAAAACATGTAAAAACTCACTGCACACTGTAGCACTGGAAGGAACTGTCAGGATACTCTGCCTGGAAAGGCTGCTGACTCTCCACAGTTCCAAACCACCAAGCATCATCTATTATACTGCGAAATCTATCCCCTGGAAGGCAAAATATTGCATTCAGCACAAGAACAACATCAATAATTATTAAATATTTCTTTTTAGAGAGTCAACTCCATCTTTCATAAATGTACTACTTCAATTTTTACATTTTGCACTAAAGGAATGGAGCCCTAAAGGAAGGCCTTGGACACCTCTGGGAATTACCCACAGCTGATTCCATGCCTCAAATCACAACAGATCAGCAGATTCTCCTGCTCTCACAGGTTTTGGGACAGTTTCTCTTATATTTTTTGGTTTTTTTTCTGCTATAGGAATTGCAGCAAACATCAAATAAAAGTTTCCAATGACCTCTAGAATACCACGGTGTGACTCTTGGGGAAGGTCCTGTGCAGGGCTAAGGGCAGTCCTTTACATGATGTAATGAAGACCCTGCATCCCATTAAACAGCTGCAGAAATGGTGCAGAAAACATATGGAAGTGGGGAAAAAAAAAAAAAAGGAGTCACCTATTTGCCAGTTCCTTTCTTTGGCTTCGTTATAAAACTGGTGCAGCACGAGGAAGTCAATGACATCTGGCATATCATGGTACCTTCAGGAAACAAGACAGTTATTACTACCCAGAAATATAATTGTGCATGCACAGCACAGTCCCCAAATTCCATGCATTTGGAAGGAGGAGGGAGAAGCTTTTACACTGCAAAGAAATCTCCTGAAGGATGCCATCAGCGTTCCAGTGACTTACTTTATGGAAAAGGATTCTCCTGTCATTTTGCCTGTGATTGGATCCAGGAATGCAAGCTTCAAGCAGCAGAGTGTGGGAGGCCCAACTTCGTATTTAATCCCTACAGTCTTCACAAATTCTTGTTCCTATTTATCAGTGAATATGGAACAGCATTATTTTTAACTCGCTGACCACAAAAATATCCACTTTAAAGCATTAAACATACTAATATAAAGCAGTGTTCCTACTCTACAGCCCAGGTAATTTCGCCCATAAATTTTATTTTTCCAAATACTAAAAATCAATCACTGACACCTTAAAACCAAAAACCAGGAAGGTGTAAGATGCTCATTCCCTTGGTAGATTTGTGAACAGGATTCCCACAAATTACTTAAGAAGGTTCTAAGGACCAAACCCACTCTGGTTTTAACCACATTGATGGCACCAAAGTTTATCCCTGACCTAATCCAGGGCTCCTCACTCTTGTATAGGGGGGAAAAAGGAAATTCTTCCTCTTAAAACAGAAATTCCACAATAGCCTTTATGTTCACATCCTGTCAAACTCTATCCTAAGTGAAACGCTGTTTCCTTTTCCTTACAAGCTGCTGATGCCCTGGAAAATTACAGCTGGAATCACTGAATACTACAGACTAGTAACTGGGTATTGTTCCAGTTAAGCAATTATTTTCATATAATAGAAGCACATATATGAATATTAGCACATATGTGGACTCCTCTTTTGATATAAAATTGGAGTAAAGCAGGGAAAAACATGGTAACACTGTGGATTAAGTACTAGGGGACTCTGGTTCAAAGTAAGATCCAGTGTTTAAAAGAGCTTGTACACACATTTAGGTGTTTACACCATAATTTCTTCCTTCTTACCATAGCATTAAAAACAAGAACTAGAAACCAAATGTTCAGGTCACTGTAGAGTAGTGAGAGAACTATAAACAGCTTTGGAGTGGTGGGTTCTGAATGAATTAAATGAAAATAATTTGTGTGGAAAGTGACTCCTGAGAACCATGTCCAAAATCAGGAACTGAACAGATGTAAAGAATTAATATTTACAATTTAAACTTCAATATTAACATTTTAAAGTAATTCCTTCTTCCTATTTTTCAGGCTGGTTTTTCGTGTCAGTTTAACATTACAGAGACACTCAGCTCTTTGAAGTATTTCTTTAACTTACCCTGAGTTCCATTTTGTTCCATGGTTGTTTTTGCATGTTAATACTGTAAATTTTGGCTTTCCTTACTGCCCTCACATAAGCTTCATGGCCTTGCCTAAAGTATATGATCTTAAAAGGGAAAAAAAAGAAAAATGAGAAAAAAGAGAAAAAAAGAGAAGGTTATTTTACTGAGAGTTCTCTTCCTGTTCATTCTAAAATTTCTATGAACAGGAGGGATGAGAACTTACTGCCCACTTATCTATTTCATTATAAAACACTCCTCTAGTTAAAAATATTTCTATCAGCCCCCCAAATCAGCACTTCCTCTGTGCTTCAAAAGTGGGATAATTAAGAAATGGCAGGTGAAGGTGAACAACCAGCTCTTCCTGCTACTCCTCAGTCACCACTGCAGAAAAACAGACTCAGGATTATCTGCAAACAACAAACTGCCTGAGAATTATCAACATTCAGCCTGTTTTTGGGCACAATTCACTGCTGGATATATAGCCCTGACCAACCCAAGCTCTCCAGCCCCTGTGGAAGGTGGGAATTGCTGCAGGCAGTACCTCATCTCCCATCTGTGGGACGAACGGGGAGCGCCGGGGAATGGTGTCCAGGATCCACTGAGGAGCAAGCCATTCCTCACTGGGCTCCCCTTCCAGGGACAGCAGGCCACTGGGCTTCTGAAATATATTACATTTAGAATACAATTAATACAGTGTTTAGAACACCGTTAATATAATATTTAGAATGCAATTACTAAAATATTCAGAGTACAATTAATTACTATGGCAGAACACATGAAAAACTGACCATACAGCAGTTACTGCACATAAGAGATACAAAGCAAAGGAAATACTGGAATGTCAGCCTTCCCAAACCTTCACTAAATAGTAGGGAATAAGACATGTCTATTATAAATATAACAGAAAATTAAAACATTCATAAATTCATTAAAATGCCCATGGAACAAGGGTGGACTTTAAGGTCCCTTCCAGCCCAAACCGGGCTGTGGTTCCAGATAATAAATAAAAAATAAAATAAAATAAAGAGATTGTACTTCTATAAATATTCTAAACAGCTCTTTAAAAAAAAAAATACCAGGAAAAAGAAACCTGGCAATGTAGATACAATACAGATCCATTGTAATTTTACAACAAAACCATCCTGGAGTAAATTTAACTGCAGGGAAGAGCATAAACCTGGGAGAAAACATCTATGTCACACAGGAAAACAAACAATAAAATCACTTTGGTACCACTGGCACTACAATTCCTGTGCTCTCTACAGTTTCTTTCTTCCTATATACTTGTCTGTGAACAATTTTACTTTGAAAAAAAACCACCAAAAAACCAAATTTATATTCCTAAAGTAAAACAGACAGTAAAAATTTACAAATGCTGACCTTTTTTCTAGGTTGTTTAAGTTTCCTTCGCTTTGGCTCCAGTCCTTTTGTTCCCTTCATATTTTCATCTTCAGAACTACTACAGATTTTCCGAGCTGCCTGCCTGGTCTGTCTCTTTGGAGGCTGGAGATTAATTCCAGCATCTGCTGTCCAGTCCGAATATTCACTTGATGAATCACTGCAGATAAGAAAAAGTTGTAAGAAAGAGAACAGAAAACTTCAGTTTTCACACAATGGACTGAAAGGCCCAAACATTCAACCTGCTCTCCTGGGGAGCAGATGTCAGGATTAGCACAGAATTTTGTTGTCATGTGAATTTACAGAATTTGTGATTTCAGCAAATTATTGTATCCATTTGAAACTCCCAGTAAAACTGCAGCTATGGTTGATACCAATTTTCATACTCATCATCTCACTAATTCACGGACTGATTTCAGAAGAACCAAGAGTAAAAAATGCTTGAAAAATGTAGAAAACCAGAGCACTTCCCTAAAAATCCAGTTCTGACTTCTTGAATATCAAATAACACACATACAGGATTTGCATGGCAAACTGGCTTTGATTTTTTCAAGCAGTTCTTAATTAAAGACAACATTTTCTTACAAATGGTCTTTCAAAACTGCTTCTGACTGAAAAAAAAAACCACCCAACACCAAAAAACCCACAACATAAAACGTTTCACAAAGAACTGAGGGAAAAAAATCAGTCTTCAAAATGAAGTCTGAGTATCACAACACCAACTGTCTTAATTAAATTCCATAATAAACCAGTATTATCAATTCAGAGACCAGTAAAGGTACCTGGAACTGCTTTCACTTTGCCAGGCTGCCACGGGATCGTCCATGGAGGCATCACTTGTGCCAACAGTCTCATCTTCCTGTGTTAAAAATGGAAGGTTTCACTTTGGGGTCAAGGCTAAAATATGTAATTTCTGTTTGCAAGCAAGATGTGTCATCTGAGGAAAACTTTGTATTTAAGGGCTGGTTTAGATTTGAATAAGTAGGTCCACAGTTTCTTTCTGTATCTTAGTGCGACACTATATGATTTTATAATTCCTATATAAATAAGTAGACAATTTTTTTCTATGTATTAATCAATATTATACTTTGTCCTTTTTGTCCCTTATAGTTATATAACATAGTATAAATAATATTATATGCTATAACTCCTATAGAAACAGATGTGAATTTTAATTCTATTAGAACCATAACATCAGTTCATATTTAAATGTTTGATTAATAAATTTTAGTGCCAAGTGCCCAACTTTTTTAGCTATTCTGTACATTCAGTGCATCTACAAAGCAACAATGTTCGGCCTCTTCCTGAAGGACAAGAAGTTTTATTTAATCTGAGATATTTTAAGTTCTTCCCTTGCCAATATCAATGATTAATACCAATACTCCATCTCTTTCCACAGCAGTCCACAGATGTAGCTGAAATCAAAGCACTGCAAAACGAAATCAAAGCCCTGCCCTGAATCCACGTGCTGTGTGAGATCCCAAAATAGCAAATGCTTTAACACAACCCAGTTAAATTCACTTGAAAACGTTTCAGGTTTCCAAAAATACCTGAGCTGTTTCATGCTACTTTTGAACACTGTACTGGCACTGAGGGAGAAGATCCTGCACCCTCCCAGACCAACACGCCCCAAATCCCCGGGAATCAACGAGCCGAGTGTTCCTCCCCGCACAGAGAAACTCGGGAGTGCTGCTGTGCTGTGAGATTTGGGAGCAGGGAGGCTGTAGGGGGGTGTTTGGGGGGTCAGACCTCGGAGGAGCTGTCGGATTGCTGGCGGGCACAGGGGTGGTGGGGGGCTCCCTGCGGGCTGTGCTCGATGGTGGAGCGGGTCTGGTAGGCGTGCTGCCGCCGCCGCTGGTTCCTGCGCAGGGATCTGCCGCTGCCCGCCTGGAATTCGCTCTGCCACGGGGACAAACAGCACACAACCAAGGAGTCAAGGATGAGTTACACACTTAAAAGATGCCTCGTTAATGTGACAATGTTATATTCCAATTGCAAACAGGAAATCGCTGCAGAGTCTTGGACACATCGTGGCTCGTTTAAGGGCACTTCCAAGCGTGGTTTTTGGTTCAATATCAATTCTACTTTATAAAGTAGAAAGGAAGTTAGGGAAAACATAATTTTTTCTATAAAATTCCTGAAATCTCTGCATAAGATAACTCCAGCCACTTATAAAAGTGTGGCACCTCTAAAGTTTGTCTGTTTGCACAGAATCACAGGATATGCAGAGTTGGAAGGGACCCACACGAGTCATCAGGTCCAACCCTCAGCCCTGCACAGGACCATCCCCATTTTCCACAAGTCAAAGTGAAACCCCACTGTGGCTCTGCTCTTTTTCTTTCCCAGAATCTTCCCACCACTGAAGCCTCAAGGATAGAGATTTACCACTATTTGCATATTACAGACAGACAAATCACAGCTACAGAAGGAAGACAGAGCCAGAGGAACAATTAGGAGTATTGATCTTCTAAATAATTTAATAAAATTGGGTTGGGTTTTTTTGTTTAATTTAGTGCTATAACTCACCCGCTGTAAGGTGTGGGATGGCTTTCTCTTCTTTTCAACAGTGTATAAACTAATTTCTATTTCACCTTTGGCAGCTCGACATTCTTCCTGGACCCTAATTATGCAGAAGAAACATCCCTTTTATTCAGTAAATCATCAAATAACTCACCAGTCTCATTAAGACACATATAGAAATACTTGTTCTGTTGCTATAAGAAATCTGTGCACAAGCAGCATCACTCCTAGAATCATAAGTTAAGGAAGCAAACTCCTTAGCTGAGCATCCATAATTACTTCCAAGTAGACTGGAATGAATTAAAACTATTTGCATGGGGTTTGTTTTAAATAAAACTTCAGGGAAATGTGGTGTTTGAACTACTGAAGAGAGACTGAATTGTGAAAAGAAGGAATTACTATTCTCAACTCCCCACTCCAATCCTAACATTCCAAACAACACGATCAACCAACCCCCAGAGCCAACGCGTTTCTGCAAAATCACTTCAGGAGTACGGATTAATTATTAAATATTATACAATGAGATTTTTTTTCCTCCCCTGGCTCACTTAGCATCTTACTTGCTGACGCCTGGAGGGAGCTCATTGACCACCACCCTCCTGCTCCAGGCCATGAGGTCCCTCTCGGTGGCCATCTGGCTGCGGGGCGCGTTGTGGTGCATCTGCCGCACGCCCTCGATCTGCCCGCTCCGGCGGAGCCCCACGTTCGGGGGGGAGGCCACGTCCAGAGCCGGGCTGCGAAGGGCTGAGGGAGGGAAAAACAACCTCTTCACTTCCAGAAACCATCACTGGAATCATGCAATCATGGCTGGGTTGGAAGGCACCTTAAAGCTCATCCTGTTCCACCTCCCTGCCATGGGCAGGGACACCTTCCACTAGCCCAGGTTGCTCCAACCTGGCCTTGGACACTTCCAGGGATGGGGCAGCCACAGCTTCTCTGTGCCAGGGCCTCATCACCCTCACAGGGAGGAATTCCTTCCCAATATCTAATCTACAATTTAAAGCTTAAGGACCACACAAATTCTTTTTTGGCAATAATCAACACTTATTCTTCATGAAGTGGCTTTTCTTTTGCTCCAGGTGAACATTTTTGTGTGCTGGCCTTAGGGATGTGTTTGCTGCTGGTTTGAGGTATTTCTGAGATATCTGAGGCACACAGAGAATGTAATCCATGAGGAAAGTTTTAAGGGCACTTAAGTGAACTTCAAATTAAAGTTTTTCAACTGCTTAAAGGCTCTAAAATCATCAATCTTAAAATTCTATGGAACAAGAAGAGATGAGGTTGACATCTAAAATAACAGACTGCTGCAAGGTTTACGTTGTCTGTTGTGTCTCCATTTGTTTTGTGGTTTTAATTCTTATTTGCTGTGCCACAGGCACTGCTCTGCTCTGGGCTTCTCATCAGGTGGCACAACACAGTGAAAACACACACTTCAGGCAGCAAAAAGACACAAAAAGCCTGCTAATAATGGAATGACTGCCATCATTGTTCTTGTTTAGCTCATCAACACAACATCCACGTGCTTAAATATGGTCAACCACGTGAATATACTGCAATTTATGGTTATGCAAACCTGCATAAAAATATTTGGCTGTTTATACATACTCTAATTAGCTTACATCAATTGGGTGATCACATAGCAAAGTCACTCCTCAGTGCAAGTTCTAGAAGGGAACTGCTTTAATTTCCATACCATTCATACCTGGAAATTCCTTTGTACAACTAGAGGGACACACAAATAATTGGGAATTGGGACTGCACAACACATCACCCTATCCTAAGATGCAGAAAAGACTTTGTGTGAGCTGAAGGTGCCTTCTAGACACCCTTCCTGACATACCAATTTAGAGCAAAGCAAAAGTGTATTTTCAGCATTTTTCACCGATATTTTTCCTATTCCTTCTTGAATTTCAACACGAGCAACTTCAAATCCTAATGAGCTTTTCCAAGAAATCTACTTCAAACATGTGTAATCAGTCACTTAACCAAGAACTAATTTATGAGCAGCTGTAAATTTCCCAAAGCTCAGGATGACTTGCAGCTCAGGTCCTTGGCATCTGCTCCCCTTCCATCAGCTGCGCCCACTCAGCTCTCCACATCTGACTGAGTTAGGTTTAAATTTTTAATCACTTTGTGTATTAAAGATAAAATCACAGTAGCAGAACATTTACCAGGAGAATAATCTCAAGCTTTCTAAGGAAATACTAAGACAGAGCAACATGTTTATTTTATTACCACTGATGCTCAGCCTTCCGCTGCAGCAGGAAACCATTAGTCTGTCACAACACTATTCACTGACAACCTCTAATTATACGCTGTTATTTTGACATTATGCAGTTAGGAAGTATCATCTCTGCACTGATATCAAGACAATACAGTGAATTTTATGTTTATTTTTCAGGAAGATGGTTTATAACAGGAATAGTTCCAGTCTAATAGCTTGAAGTAATCAGATACAGCCCAGTCAGACACTGTGTGCCCTCAGCTGCACCTTAAACTTTTAATTTCTCTGCTGGAATCCAAAGAACATCCAAAAGCTCCCCACAGGTTAACAAGGTGTACAAACAGGAGAGAAAAGCATCCTCCAAGACACATGAAGACATTTTGATCAGTACCTTCTGTGATTAAGGAAAGAACTGCTGGAGACAAGGCAGGACACTGACCTCCATTGACAGAGAGGGATCTGTTGAGTGGAGGGTTTGGAGGAGTTTCTCCTTCATTAATTAGTCTGAGATCTTGTTCCCTCTGGAGCTCCCTGATCATTCCATCGAGGATACTCTCATCCTGGTCATTTGTTTGCTGCCCAATGACTTGTTCAACTACTTCACCATCACCTTGGCAAGAACAAAGCCACAAATATGACATGATTAATTTCTGTTATAAATTAATCTCTCTTATAAAGTGATTACTGTTTTACTAAACACCACAGAAACAATCCTATTTAAAACTCTGCCCTGCAGAACATCTGATCACCAGCTGGCTTTCTGCCCTCATGGAATAAATGGAGGCAAAGTTTAGAAGAGAAGCTACAATAAAAACCTGAAACTCCAGAGCACATGTGAAACATAAACACAAACCCTTAGAAACAGCAGAAAGAAATTATGCTTCAGTGGGTAATAATGGAAGATCTTTTCTGGAGACCAGCATTTTGAAAAAATTTATGTCTACAGGGAAAAAACCCCCTGTTTTGAAAAACAAAAGCTGTTTTTATCATGTCTTTCTCACCCTCCTGGTTCCTTCCTCACATCCTCAGTTACACTGAGGTTAATGGGACAATGCTTTAAGCATCTGCTATATATGGGAGAAGTCCACAGATTTTGAAATATTCTTGTTTCCAGTCAAGTTAGTTCCAGACACTTCCTTAGTGCCATAAACTCACCCTATCTCCTCTTCTGCCTCTCTGCTGAATTTAAACCACTAATTTATAAATTCTTACAGCACCACCTCACGGAGCTGCTGCTCAATCCTGTGCCACACATGTATTATTCATGAGGTTTAGACAGAATACCATTAGCTACATATCCCAGCTGAGGAATGAGCTGCTCATCCTTGCAATTCTCCCTCCCTGGGACCAGGCGCTGGAATCTCGTGGGATGAGGATTTCCATCAACATCCACCAGGAATGGAGGAGGCATCAGATGTGGAGCCTGTTGGGTCTGTTCATCCAACACGTAGTTATTGGCATCACGGATCAGAGGCCTGTAATCCGTATGGAAGAACATCTGATCTGGAATCTGAAAGAAAAGCAATTTAGGGAATGAATCAATGGCCATTTGCAGCTGTCTGGCTGCTCTGGAATGGCTCCATACCCATAAACCACAACTCCTGCACTCAGGAGCAGCAGCAGGAATGTTGTGACAGAAAACAGATTCCTACCACAAATGTGGTTTATTACCAAGGCCTGATGCAGAAATTCAAGACTAAAATAGGCCAAAAGAGGTGAACAGAGAGAAGTTAATGCTTTGCTCCCCTGTCTAAGATTCTCTTGTCTAAATCTTTTTGATTTAGGTAAAAAGCAACTGCTTCATGATCTAATTATTATTTAGTGTGAGGCAGGGTGAGGGAATAAATTGTAACACAAATACTTCTAAGACAAAATCAGGTCAAGACAGGGAAGAGTTTAAAATTCATTCAACCCACCTTTTCATAATATTTATTGCATCCAAAACCAAATAGTAGCAGATGTCCATGAGAGTCTGTGCAGGCAAAATGCTGCCCATCTGGTGAGAACTTGCAATCAAAAACAGCTCCGTGGCCTTGGCCCTCAATCTGGATCAAGCACAGAACATTCCCTTCACCATATATGCACTGCAAGAGCTTTTTTACAAATATTTCACCTGTGCTCCAACACGTATTTCACACTCATTCTGTAGTTTCTCACTTTACTCAAGACTGATTTGCACTTTTACGTATTAAAGTTAAACTGAACAACACTGTAAAACTTCACATTTTGTCTTTGTTCTGAAATTTCAGCACAACTTTTAATGTATGTTCTGAAACAACCCCCTGGAAGTCTGTAGTTTATCTTAATGGCAGACACAGGGCAAGCCCACGCCAAAGATCTCAGATCTGTGCCGGCTCTGTAGGTGTATAGTGAAATCTGCTTTTGTCTCAAGATCAGTTTTAAACAAATATGAAAATAAAACTCCCTGATTCCTTCTTACCATGTTGAAGTAATTGCGAATTTTTGTTCCTTTGTCTATATCCCAAACAAAAATATTCCCATCGTGGCCCGCCGAAAGCACAATCCTTTGGTCAAAGGGATGAGCCTCCAGAACAAACACTTCATCATCATGACCCTACAACGACAGCAGGGGGAAAAAGGAACTTGTATTTCTCCATGTGGTACCTCCAGACGTGTTGGTAATTCGTGTGAGGACATCTCAGATCAGGGAGCAGCTCAACCCACTGGATCTGGGACTGGAGCTGCACTTGGACAACACTCCTGCCAGAGGTTTGGCATTGTCACTGCCCTGACTGCAGCTCAGCATTGCTGACATGGGGAGGAAGGAGAAATCAGTGCACAAATGGAGCCTTCAAAGGGCTCCCTGTCAGCCAGAAATCACCAGGATCCTGGCCATCAGCTCCTTTCCCCAGGATACACCCTCCTCCCAACAGGCAGGGCACCGCTGGATACTTCCAAGACCAAACACTCCTCATCAGAGGGAATGATGATGCAATCTAGCCTCAAATCAATCTCAGAGCTGAACTATATCCATTTGGGATTCCCCCTTGGAACGTTACTCACAGATAAGCTGTGGAGAAGCTGCCCTGTGGACGAGTTCCACACTTTGAGAAGGAAGTTGTTGACTGCAGTGATGACAGTGGCATCGTATCGATCCCAGGCCACCATGGTGACCTTCAGCTTAGTCACCTTGTCCTCCCCAGATGCCACATTGTTTCTAAGGAAATCAATGAGTTAAAAAGGAATAAATCAGTAACTGCATATGGAAACATTTCAGTGCTAATCCAGTATGGAATTCAGGGAAGATGGTTGTGACTGTGACTCTGGCTGGGGCAGGAGAAAGAAGGATGGTTCTGTGGTGGTAAAAACAGGATACAGGAAATATTCAGTGCCACTAAGATTTATAGATCTCTGTGTCCTTAAAAAGGACATTTTCTCCTCTGTTCTTACACCACCACCCTCACCTACCCCAGGTTTTCCTTCCAAGCTCTTCAGATCTATTAAGCTTTTTCCTACAAGGCATTTTTATCAGTCATCAATATCAGTAAACTCCACAAAGAGCAGGAACCTGTTAAATAAGCCCAAATCACACCTCTGACAGCAAACACTGCAAATGTAACCATATGAAACACAGAGAATTCTGCCAAGCAAATGCCTAACAGATTTCTGCTCTTTGTGGTTGTGCATATCCAATTACAAGGCACTTACAGAAGTCACTTGAGGATCTCAAAAAGATAAACTCGAAACCCTACTTGAACCTGAGAACCAGAACACCACATTTCACCTCTTACTTGGAAAATTAAGGAAGAAATACAATGTTAGGAAACATTCTGGATATATATATATTAGCACGTGATCAATGGGGTTCTACTAAAACCTGTTTTTGTGACATAAAACTGTTTGACATTCTTACTTCATATGTAAAATACTAAATATTCCCCAACTATTAGGTAGGGAACCACCAATGTATTAATATTTTCTTTGGTGGGCTAATTAACTGTGTAAATTAACAGACAGAGTCATGGCATTTTCAGTACACAAAAAACATGCATGGAAATTAACTCAAAATGGCAGTAAATGAACAGTTCTCAATATGATGGAGGATTTAGTTTGCATGGAAATGTGGCCACGAGGTGTGTTCTGCTTGGTTTGCTTTACCCTGTCATTTTAGTAGCCATATCCAGGACCACACTCTTCCAATCATGCTGATGGTAGTGCCAGATTCTTGCTGTTCCATCTCTGCTTCCACTGACAAACCTTAAGCTGTGGGGCAAAGAGAAAAAAAAGCCATGAAATTCTGAATAAGGATGGTCTAAAACCCACATGTACATAAATATACAGAGATATACTGGAAGTGTGTACTTGTGTGTCACTGCTTCTCCTCCTTGTGAGGTTCCAATTTTCATATCAGATATTGTAGAGAAGAGTTTACAACATTAATTACATTTGGCTCCAGCAGGCAGATGGCCTTGGAATGACTTCAATGTCGTAATTCATCCGAGCTGCACATTCCCTGTTTCATGACATCAGCAAATCCCTGGAGCAGCTCAGAGTAGCAGCAAAGAAAGAGCAACTGTGTGCCAGGAGTGTGGCATAAATTACAATACATTAACTCAGGGAGGGGGTGATGACAGGGAAAGGAAAGAGCCAAATTTACAAGTAGGTAGCTCTGACTGGGAAGCTGAACGTGAATATTTTAATTTTTAAACTCCTCCTGGTTTAAAAATTTTAAGCATCCAGCAAATGTATTTAACCACATCAGAGTGTTTGGCCATCAATGCTACAGAAATCATTTCTGTTGAGAAACTGGAAAAGAGCTCCTCAAGTAATACATTTTCACAGGATGGCCAACACCTTTAAAAGCATATATTATACACAAAATTACACTTCAAAGTCAAGTCTGTTCAATTTTATTAAGTGATTGTTTGCCCCTTTTCAGTTTCCCTGATCTGAATCTTTTCGTTGTGATGGAAAAGAGTTTTAAAATGCTTTTGACAAGTTTATTTTCCTCTTATTTTTACTTCTTTGTGTTAAAATAAAAAGGAAACTACTTTTTCATTCAAAGCATCACTGCAGCATATAATTTTCAGTGATGACATGACCTAAACCCTCTGACATGGCTTGGAAAGAACTGGTAGCACAATTACAGCACCACATTCCCACATAATTTCATGTGACAAAGATCTCCAAGTGCAGGTGCAAAGCTTCCACACATCCCTTATACCTCCTGCCCAGGAAAATAAGGAAATAGGAACAAAAGCTGGGAAAAAACCACCTACATTAAATTCTAACTTTTGCTTTAAACTACATTTATTACAGTGCTCTTACTCCACAAGTAAATCCCTCTGTGGGAGTTACCTGGGAACTAAGACACTCTTACAGAAAAGGACACAAAATTTGGGTTCCAATTTGCTGTTTTAAAGAAAAAAACAAATTAAAAGCATAATTAAAGAAGGTTTTTGTTGTTACAGCAGAGGACAACAAGCTGGAGCTTGTGAACATGACACACATCTTGCAACACACTTAATAGTTTGTCCAGGATTAATCAGAGCCCACAGGCAGTTTTCCTGTTGTGCCAAATTTTCCATGAAATGTTCTTTGGGCAATTAAATAGCAACACTCTCAAGTGCAAACCCCAGGAGCCACTCACCTGTCCCCATTGTTACAGAACTGGACTGCAACCACCTTGTCCTGGAGAGGAAAACACAGCAGTAAGTGCTTTATGGGTTGAAACTTTCACCCTAAAAGTTCTCAATCAGTTGATTCTTGATTAGTTTTTATTTAGCAAATTGCATCTTTCTTACAACAGTCTTAAAAATTCACGTACAGAGAAGTTTTATTTAAAGCTAAAACTTCCCCAGACTTACTGTGCTAAACACTCAAACAGAAAACTTCAGAGAGGTGATGGTTTCCTGCAATTTTTAGACCTAATATTAAAGTGCATCAAAAAAATTTAATCCAAAAAATGCAAACCTTGGCTTTATTTCCACTCACAAACTGCTGAGAAACAAATGTTATGTTTCAGACATGAGTTTGCCTTTTTTTTAATTTGCTAAACACTTGTGTTGGCTCCAGGCACTTGTATCCTTACTCCCACTGGTGTCTCCAGCTCCTGATAACCCATCTGGGATTTGTTGTCTGCAGGATTAAGAGTGGATTTAAAAAACTTAAAGGAATTACAGCTCCTTCCAAACCTACTCAAAACAGAAAACACTGTTTTGTGAGCAAAATACTTGTTAGATGTGTTGGTTTGGAGGTTTAAATGGGACACCCAAGACTCCCACTTAAGTTCAGTGAATCAGTTTAGATCTCAGGCCTAATCCATAAAATGCTGTTAGAGTGGAAAGTCTGAATTTTTATGGGAACCCTTTTGCATTACCTGAAAAAAGATGCTCCTAAGCTTGATTTTCTAAAGGAAATTTCCATCATGATCCAAACTTTGACTAAAACCTGAATTACTTCGTTTTTCTTGTTATGTGAAATTGTGGTCACAACTAAAGTTAAATACTCAGCAGTAAATTCTATAGGAAAAAAATAACATGGTGTTTTAAAAGTGCTTTAATTCCTCATTCCAACCCAGACTTTTTTCAAGAATATGGGAAAATCACCTGATCCCTCAGTTTTCTGGGGGAATAAAATATTAAAGCATATTTTGCACAGAATTTTTGCCTCAGAGGGACTTAAAAACAACCATCCCCCAAATTCCCAGGCATTTAAACACCACAGTGTTGAGAGCCAAATAACTTCTAGAGAGTTAATAAATCAAACAGGATGTAAAAACCCAAGTTCCTGAAATCAGGTAAAGGGGGGAAAAAAAAGATTTGTGTCCTGCTTTTCCTCTTACCGTGTGAGATTCCAGCTCAGCCATTTTCTCTGGAGATTCTGAGCCCAAATAATAAATTCTTATCACGTGGTCAGTGCTACCTGTTGCAATGAACATGCCACCTAAGACAGAGAGTTTTCCATGAGAAGCAAAGTCAGGCAAGGAATACCTTCTTTTAACTTTGTTTATCTGAATTTGCTGCTTTCTTGTCAATGCAGGAAACTAGTTTTAAATTTCAATGTAAACTGGTAAATATAAAATAAAATATTTGAGTGCATCTTCAATTCTATTTGACACAAATCAGAGAAATTATTGCTGAATCAGGAGTCAGGGATTGCTGAGAAACTGGGGAAAAGCTCTTTAAGTAATACATTTTCACAGGATAGCCAACACCTTTGAAAGTATATTCCATTTATATACAAAATTACACTTCAAAGCCAAACCAATTCAATTTTATTAAGTGACTCTTTGCCCTTTCCAGTTTCCCTAATCCGAATTTTTCCACTGTGATAAAAAAGTGTTTAAAAATGCTTGTGACAAACTTACATTCTTAGTCTTACTTTTATTGCAATTTCTTTACAGGAGTTCTAGATTGAAAAAAGGAACGTGGCTCTAGAAGAGTTCTCCATTTCAAAAAGGCAAATTTCATGAGGAATTTTCTTTGTAAAAATATAAAAAAGTATAAAAATAAAAAATATCTCTGATGTGCAAAACAAGAGACTTTCAAGCCTTGAAGCTGGTCAAGATAGCTTAAATTATAGGAAAAAAGAGAAAAAGCAACTTGAGGCAGACACTTGGCATGGAAAATTTCAAGCAATCCCAATGTGACAGAGCTAAAATTAACTGGAAAAGGGTTTAACAGTATTTGTATTTAAAGAGAAGTAGCAGAACTGCCACCAAAGGACCCAAGTCCATGGAATACCTGACTGGACACGTACCAGAACTGAAGGATGAACAGGAGATCTGAACACCAGGCCTGGACCTCTCTGCAAATTTTACAGGACGATCCCTACGTGCAACAACACAACATTTTTACTTTTCATTGCTTTTTTCAACAAAAACATCTCCCTGCAGCTCAGGCTGGGGTCAATATGCTCACCTTAAATCTCTTTATATCACAATTCTCTCCTAAGTTTCCTAGAATTTTTCATTTGAGGCATTTTTGTCCTTAGTTGAATAAGAAAACCATAATTTTCTTAACTGAAAAGACTATTTAACTGATTTATCATGATACTCACCAATTAAAAACTATTTAAAACAGAACCTGCCAAACCATTCATCTGATGGCATTTACTCCCTATTAAATATGGGTTTGGTGACATTTGCATATGCATGTTCTTCTGATTAAAAGCAAATTATTTCTTCTGCCATTTTGGACAAAGATTTATTCCTTCTGCCATTTTGGACAAAGATTTATTCCTAAGCTGGAAGTTCTTCCACAACTTTGCCTTGCAAGGCACAAACCCCAGAAATAACAACCCCAATCTCTGCCTCCCCTCTGGGTTCCAACAGCACAGAACCCCTGCCCCCCACCACCACCAGCTTATTGAGCAAGAGAACGCCCTTATTTAATTATCTCAGCATTCCTCTCCAGGCCAAAACTCAAAATAAATCCCTTCTCGAGTCAAAATAATTATAATTATCTAAAGAGTCTTACTTAAATTTCATGGTGTTCGCATGCCACTGCCAGAAACAGATTGTTCCATCGGCACCAGTGGAGGTGAGGTATCGTGTTGTTCCTTTCCTTGCTGGAGAGAACTAAAAATAAAGTTGGAACAATTAAACCAGCTGATTTCTTTCTCTTCTTTCATGCTGGAAACCTGTAGGGAATTTTTTTCACTCGCCTATAAGCTTTCTGCCCAGGAGAACAGGGAGCAGGGATAGGCACAGAATCTGAACTTCCATTAAAAAAATCAAGGTGATGGAAATGGAAAACACCCACATTTTGAGCAGGAATTCTTTATTTCCGCCACACATAGGAGAGTAAATTGGAGAAATGAAACAAGCCCAGACTCTTTTAATGGGGTATTAAAATGAGGAAATAGTTCTTTCTAGGATAGAACTGGATCAAACATGGCAAATAAAATGATTCCTGCATCCCAATGAAGAACAGCAGCACAGCAGGATCCCCACTCCCTCCCTCTTCCTGAATGTCTCCTCTGCCTCTCTAAGGAGTGGGAAAGCTTTTTATTCTTAATTTCATAACTGCAGCAATGCCTTTAATCCTCTGGTTATTTGGTAATTTGATAGAGGAATTGTTTCCTCTATTTGCATTGTTTGCACTGTTTCCTCAAAAAGCCATCACTGATTATATTCTAAATGATCAGAGTTTTACAAAAAGCTTGTGAGGAACATATATATGTGTGTGTGTATATATATATATATATATACACACACATATGCAAATAAGTAATATAACAATTATAAAACCAGGTTGTAAAATACTTTTCCAAAACAATCACCTTAATATGGTTGAAATCAAAATTGGAAGTGTAGGGAAGAGGGGGAGAAACAAAGCTCCTGGGGACCACTGGCATGATGGAGAAGCCTGTGCTGAATCCAAGGAAGCACAGCTCCCGAAGAGAGGGATTCTGAGCCAAACAGCCCCCCCTCACTCTACCCTCTAACATGCATCACCTGCCAAATTGCAGGGAATGGGTTTTTTTTTATCCTGGAATTTTGATTTTTGGAGGTTTCTGGCAATTGTGCTGTTTTTTAAAGAAAATCTGCGCTTGCTACAAAACCCAGAACAGCTCCTTACGGTACAAGTTAAGATAACAAAGAAGCGAGAAATGTGGAATAAGGAATTTTAGCTGATTCTTCCGAAAAATAAATGTTCTCTACGAACACAGGACTGTCAGCTCAGGTGCTGTGCCAGGCCCAGCACCAAAGATGCCAAACACGACTCCCTGGCTCATTGAGAGCACCAGACCTATCATTCTCTAGACCTAAGGAAGCAGCAGTGGGATCCCACAGCTAAAGGCACACGGAAGGAGCAGGATGAACCAGCAGCGAATTTGCCACGAAAAACATCGTCGAGTTGGGACGAACTTGAGAAGAGATGATAAATTTTTATCTCCAACTGCCAATCCCTGATTACCATTTGAACTCAAACCTGGTGGCTGCTCACCTGTATGGAAGTGATGGAGGCCGAGTGGCCCTGCAGGACGGCGAGGGGGGCGCAGGTGCGGAGGCACCACACCCGCACCACCTTGTCGCAGCTGCCCGCGGCCAGCAGCGTGTTCTCGTAGTTCACGGCCATGTCCGAGATCTCGGCCGAGTGCCCCCGCAGGGTGGACAGCAGGCGCCCGTCATCCGTCGCCCAGATCTTCACCAGACAGTCATCTGAGCCCTGGGAACACAGACATTCAGTCACCTCTGAGCCCTGGGAACACAGACATTCCCAAAGATCACCTAAAGCTGAGGGCGGGCAGGGATCTCTGCCAGCGCGAATGTGCCAGAAGCGCTTCAGTGGGATTCCGCTGTTATATCAGGAATAAATTCTTTACTGTGAGGGCGGATTTTGGGAAGGAATTCTTCCCTGTGAGGGTGGAAAGGCCCTGGGTACAAGTTGCCCAGAGAAGCTGTGGCTGCCCCATCCCTGGAAGTGTCCAAGGGCAGGTTGGACGGGGTTTGGAGCAACCTGGGCTAGTGGGAGGTGTCCCTGCCCATGGCAGGGGGGTGGAACTGGATGGGCTTTGAGGTCCCTTCCAACCCAAACCAGTCTGGGATTCTATGACTACGAACTATGTTCATATGAGTCTGGGGATCACCTTGTGGAGTCAAGGATTTCCATTTTATAAAATCATGGAATCACAGGATGGTTTGGGTCAGAAGGCACCTTAAAACCTCATGTCATTCCAACCCCTGCCATGGGCAGGGACACCTTCCACTAGCCCAGGTTGCTCCAAGCCTCATCCAACCTGGCCTTGGACACTTCCAGGGATCCAGAGCAGCTAAAAAGCTTCTCTGAGCAACCTGTGCCCAGGGCCTTTCCACCCTCACAGCCAAGAATTCCTTCCCAATATCCCATCTAACCCTGTCCTCTTCACCCGAAGGCCATTCCACCTTGTCCTGTTACTCCATGCACAGGGATTAACATTAACAGCTAAAAATGTAGCATTAATTTGAAAAATCTACTCATTTTTAAATAAGCCTAACAAAAAGCAAGGGCAGTACCACAGAAATGGATGCTACTGTATTCTGGAGAAAATCTTAAATTAATAGTCCCGTATTCACTGACAGACCACAAATTCTGGAAGGTAAATTTAGTATAAAACTAACTCGCAGCTGAAGTAAGTTGTGTCTGCATCTCAATCAGTGACCAAGAGGCTCACGAAACAAGGAAATCAAACCAAGCAAAGCAATCTTCAAAAAAAAAAAAAATCCAATTTTTAAACTCACTGTAAAAATTCTCCTCCCGCTGCGGTCAAAGGCGATACAATAAACAGATGAGAGGTGCCCCAAAATCCTCTTATGCATCTTCATGTGTTGGTAGGTGGATGTTGGGAACAAGTGGCTGAAACGGCCACATCCAGTTAATTGCCTGGCAGACAGGATGTGAACTGGGAGAGAAAAACAAAGCAAAAAAAAAATCTGAGACATGAATTGTTGTCTAGAACTCAATGTAAATGAGTATTAAATCAAATGTAATGGTCCTTAACAACTTTATGATTATAATCTATAAATCTGAGCCTCTTCCACCTCATCAGAATGTTCTGTATAATGTCCTAAAAAGAAATCCCACTCCTAATAAAGCCTTTCAATGCAGCACCACATGCTGCACCTGCTTCCTCACCAAAAATTACAGCAAAATTAAAAGTTCCCATCACAAGTGGGAGTTATTCCAATCTTCAATTCATGAACAGGTACAGATACAGTTACTCTACATGGATTAGAGAAATCTGCTTTATGGATATTAGATGTTCCTAATAACAATTACAAGAAATTTAGTTTTATAGTATAATAATTGTTTATTTTCAGTGCTTTCTTGGTGATAAAAATCTTTCTTTGGAATGGTTTCTAGATCACATGGGATGGTCAAAGGTCTTCCACGTGTTCAACATCAACAGCACTGCATTCCTATGGCTGTGGAATTGAAGAATAAGAAATATGTGGCACTGATGGGAAACTCCCCATCAAAAGAATGGCAGGTACAAGAAAAAACTGCAATAACAAATTATTTCCCACTGCTACAGACAGAAATCCTTCCAAGAACAGCCTGAAATCCAAATCCACAAAAACACCACGTCAAAAAGCCCATCTTTGATCTGATGCACAATTTGAGCTCGTTTTGGGGTATTTAATTCCACCAACCCTCTCTCATTACTGTTTTCCCCAACCCATCCTCATTTGTAGCACCTGAACTTTAAAACCCAAAGTTTGCAGAGGTTTTTCCAATGGCACTTGAGGCTCTGACACTGCTGGGCTGGTGGGTTTGTGGAGTCTGTGATAGCAGATCCCCTGGAGAAACTCCTTATCTTGCCTCCTGCACCTTGAAGTAGGTTGGGCTTCACAGGAGCACCACGAAGCTCCTCAGTGCCTTTCAACCCCTTAGTTTAAAAGTACAGTGAAAAACTCAACCCATTCCTTAATTGTCTCATCACATCATTCCCAATCTCCACAAAAAAGATTATGGAATACGATAAAAAAAAATAAAAAAGAAAAATCTACAAAGTCAAGAAGTGCCATTTCAAAGGGTTTCAAACCCATAACTCACTCGTGCAAATTTGTACCATGGAAGCATCTATTAACAAATAAATTTATTTCAGCTTTACAGAAAGTATTTTTGTCTCTAAATTTTGGAAATTTAGATTATTTTTCATCACTCAATGTACTTGAAACACAACACATGAGGGAAAAAAGCTGCAAAAAAGACACTTGCAAAAGCCATCAGGCTCCAGCATAACCTCACCTTCAGTCAATATTTGCTTTGCATGTAAAAACACATATTCAGCAGCACTAAAAAGCAAAACACATTAAAGCAAATTAATTTACTGTCTACCTACTATTGAATTGATGCCTGACATTACACAGGGCTGTTAAACAAAACTGTCTCCTCAAACAAAGTAAAACTGAAATTTTTAACCTTTTTTACACCTCTAACACAGAGATCCCACAGTGCTAAATGCTCTACAAAGGTGCCTCAGGTTTTCCTATACATTATTTTATTTACTATGTAAGTGTGACAGCTAAAAAGCTAAATATTTAAAAATATTAAACCTCCCTTTCCCCCCACCCTGTGGACCCTGTGTGCCAACAGAGGGATGGAGTCATTCAGCAACCTGGTGATTCTGCTGTGCTTTTCAATGCTTAAAGTCTTTAAATACATATATATTTATATATTTAAATACATAATAACAGTGTATCTGCCTTTAAGCAATTTCAAACAGCTCTGAATAATGTTTTAACCACACAAAGAACTGTGTGAATCAAAGAGGTATTTCAAAATATTCCCAATAATCACAATATTTTCTGTGTCTCCCTGCAATCCTTCTGAACATTTACCACTGATTTTTGGTGTACATCACATGAAGGAAACACTAAAAGGTATAAAGAATATTCAGGCACCTAAATCCCAGCCTTGGCATCTCCCTTTTCCGGTGGATTCCCAGCCTTGCAATCAGTTCAGCTCCAGCGGATATGAAAGTGATTTCACTTGTTTTTTTCCTGTGTTTATTTCCCTATTTGCACAATGAGGACAAAACTCCTCAATCTCCCATGGATAATTACAAAATAAAAAGCCCTGCTTATGAAATGCTTCAACCAAGAGACGTCCAGAACTATTGTTGTGCCGTGAGGAGCAACGACTTTATCAAAGCAACAGCATCTCTGGGCAGAAAAACTATCACTGCTTCAAAAGGAACAAAAAAACATCCCCAATTCCAGTTCTTAGGAAGATTAATACACAATATCTAAATAGGGAATTACCCCCACATGACAAAAATCCCTGTGAAGTTTCCTTTCTTCAGCACAATGAAGTCCTTGTATCCCTAAGGCCCCAAAGCATTAAAAACCAACAATTCCCATCAAGAGAAACAGCAACTTAGTAACCTTAAAAGATTTTAGCAACCTATCTAATTAACTGATGTATTTCATGCCATACTGGGTGTAAAAAATGTCAAGTCCACCCCCTCTCAATATTCCCTGCCAGGAAAAACTTTCCAGACAAGTTATTTCACATAAAAAGGGAACGGATATTTAGTCTTCTTGATAAGAAAAGTTAGTTTTGTCCCCAAACTGAAGGGCCATTTCAGCTCCTCCAACTAGAACCTGTAAAATACAGGTATTTTTCTTTTTATGGTCCTGGAAAATCACACCTTCAGGAAAATCAAGAGTTCTTAATGCAAGTCAGATATGCTGTACATCAGCAATTCCTTAATCACAATTTACCTCCCATTCTACCAGAGGTAACAGCACAAATGTAAAAACCCCTGTAAGAAAGCTCACCTAGGAAGGATAAACCCCGAAGCCTGCAACAACAACCCAAACCAGTGTAAAGAAAGTTTAAAAACCAATCCCCAGACAGCACAAATTTCAAAGTGAAGTCACAACTTCAGAAGGAATTCAAAGTCACCGAGCAGCACCTGCTTGAATTCCTCCACTCCCTACACACCCTTGTGTTGCTCCACTTTTTGCAAGGAAAACCAGAAAACAGGAAATGGGTGCAAATGTTTGGTTTAAAACCAGTTTCTCGAGGGTGATGAGTTCACATCAGACTGTTTTACCCTCTGCAATGAGCACTGTAACTTTGGAATGAGGACTTAAATTTTGCCCTCATAGCAAGGCTGGAATGAGCGAGGATCGGGTACCACTCACAGAGAGTGGGAGAAACACAGGTCAGGATTTCATAGGAATGCTAGGAATTAAATACAGTTGGCTCACATATGGAAAATATCTTCTCAGAGTGGCCACAAAGAGAGCTGGACCCAGGAAAAGCACTGAAAGCACGACGTGTTCCAGCTCTGGGAGCCGCTGACCTCATGGAACTCATTTACAGCATGAGAGACACCATCGATTCCTGACCTCATCCCAGTGCTGCTCTTTGGCACAGCCAAGGTAGCTGGATCACCTTGACTGTGACTTTCCATCCAGCTCAAATGCTTGTTCACTGAGCTGTGCTTTCTGCTTCCAAATCCTGTGTTATTTTCACTAAGAAGTTACCTACAGAAAGATTTTCATCCTCAGGTTAGTGCAGCTCTTAGAGTCAAAACAACCTTCTTTCTGATCTGCTTTGAGTTGCCTCCAAAAAACAAAGCTCTGACAAACTGAAGGAGCATTAAAAGCAGGTTTATCAAAGGGGAATAACTCCCAGTGCTGAGGTACTGCATGACCAGTCTTTCCACTTTCTGACTGGGAGAGCACAAACGGAGCTCTAAAAATCCCACGGCTGCAAAACCTGTCCAGAAAGACTCGACCAGACCATCTCCAGTGTTCCCTGGGTTGTCCTGGCAGCAGGAAGCTCTGCCAGTGTTTTCCCTCCCTCTCCTCCCCCAGCAGATCCCCACAGACTCAACACACAGACACCACATCCCTGGGAACAACTTCCACAGATCAGCACTTTCTCGGAGACTCCCCCAGCCAGAAGATTCCCAGCTCTGCACAAACACGCTGGGAAAAGGCAACACCAACTTCCTGCTCCAGTTCCACCAGACCTTTTATTTTGCAGTACTGACCCCAAAGTCCCATCCCAACCAACCCCAACCACATGGAAAGGCAAACCACTGCAGCTACCAGTTCTTCCAACTGGACCCTCCCAGTTGATCCCAGTTGGACCATCAGTGATCCTGTTCTCCCAGCAGAACAACACACTCATGGTGGAAAACTTAAATCCTTATCACTGGAAGGGAAATGATATAGGAAGCCTTTTAGCTGCTCGTTCTATATCTTATTTACCAGTTCACACAGGTAAATGTATAATCATCTCATCTCACTCCTGAACACACATGACCATGGGTGTCTTTTCCTTCAGCAAGTAATTCAGAAAACTCCCTCTGACTGAGCAAGCACAGTGTGGGAATTCATGGTTATGCCAAAATCCCAAGGAGGTCACACACTCTTCTTCATCTTGTATTTAAAACAAGACACACTGGCTGGCACCACTCAGCAGGAAAAAAACACCCATTTTGCACAAATATATACAGAATTTTGTGACTTCAACTTCAGGATTAACAATGAGGAATCCCAAAACCAAACTCCTGCCTTAAAAATAGCCAACTCCTTATTTTAATCTTCATACACATTTTTTCACATTGTAGTTTATGTAGCTACACCAAGCAGGGCTGTATTCCTGTATTCTTCCAGGAATCAATGCTTATTAAAATTAATTCCTGGCTAAAAAAGACCCTTTTCCATATAATAGCTTTGCATTTATTAAAAAAGCAATTAGGAAAACACCAAACACAAGAAATTATTCTGTTCTTTAAGTCACTAAATAATCACCAAGCAAGCAGCACAAACTTTTGCCATGAAAACATGACAAATGCTGAAGCCCAATCTGCCAGGTTGGTTCATTAATAATACCACATATTCCAAAAACACACAATCTGATGAAAGAACTGATCCAAGAATCCACACAGAAATACAGCTGTAGAAGTTGTGTGCTATAAATCTCCAATCTAGGTTATTAGTAATCCATCAGCACAACTGCTCACAGCAAAGTAACTGCAGAACCAGCCTAAAATAACAAATACAAAGATATGGTAAAACCAGAAAATTGCCATCACCATCCCTATGCCTCCAAAAGAAGGGATTCCCTGACAAACCAGCAAAGCATTTGCACAAACAGAGATAAAATACTCCAAGAAGAACCAAACCAAGATTCACATTTATGCCCGCAAGAACCAAACTTGTTTGCTATAAAAATAGTTAACCAAAGTTCAGACCATACAAGGAAAACACTTCAGTTTAAATAAAACAGAGCAGCTCTGTGATGAGATGTCAGCTGAGAGCCCACATATTTTTACACAAGTTCTTTATCTGTGTGGACAACTGAGTCTGAAGTAACACAAATGTTGCTTTGGTGATTATTTCCTTTTAGGAGAGGGATGTTGCAAGCAGTCTGTTTTCTGTCATAATCAAACTAAATGGAATTCTTGAGTCAAAAAAAGCTCCCTGGGAGCCAGACACTTTGTTCTGGATAAGATTCCTCTGATGATTCCATGATTCCATGCTCCTGTGGCCATGCCTAGCCAATCTTATAAACATATGTATATATTATGTAGGGGTATCATAAAAAGATACTCAAACCTGTTGCCCTCCAAACAAGTTGATGTGCAAAGCTTTGCAAAACATGCCTACACACACTGTGGAAGATCCAAGCCTGAATAACACAAAAATCATTCTACTTTAGGGGAGAAATCTATTTTAGATTAATTCACAGCGAAATGTTAAAAAACACATTAATGCAAACCCATAGCAGTGTTTCAGTCAGTGAGTGCAACTTTCAGCAGGACAGGAATAAACACACAGAGGGGAGAAAAACCCACCACCTTATGCAGTTCCAAACTCACCCACGTTTGGTGGCTTCCCATAGTTCACAGGGAGTTCTGGGGGTCGGCCCCTGTGCAGAGCTGCAAAGGCAGAGCCTTTCCATAGCGTGTGTCTGAAGTCTGCACCACAGAGAGGACAGAAATCATCAGTAAATGAAATAATCAGGAGATCAAGCACCGCTCCCAGCACCCCAGAATAAGATCTGCCCTGTTAAACATTTTGCCAGAGACCTAACACTTAAAGCTACTCTGATTTCTAGCTCCTAAGCAATATTGCTGTAAATGATTTCGACTTCTTTTTGGTTAATTTGGGTGGGTAATGAGTCTAAATTGATGGAAAGAAAAAGAATTTAAAAAGTGAGTGCATTTTGTATTGAGGCAGGCCTGAGCTTTGCCATGTTTTGAGTCCTGCAATCCCAACACTGAAAGCACCTCTGCTTAGGAACTGTACATTTGAGAATACACACACACATTTGCTCCCTGAAAGTGGAAAAGTGAGGTTTTTTCCAATAAATCTGTTTTCCTGCAATTGGTGGCAACATGCCCTCCTTTCAGATTGTCCTCTGCACCCCAACCCCCCAAAAAATCATTGTTTCAAAGTGAAGACTGCTTTCTTTAAAGACTCTCCAGCTCTCTGCTGCCAACTGGCCTCGGAGAGCCTCCTCTCTAGAACAATAGTGATTTTTCTGAGTGCCTCAAAAATCAGACCTGGATTTCTTCCATTTCTGGCCATCTGGAAGGAGAGAAATGAGCTTCCACGGGGAGTAAGTAGTGAAACAGAAGGACAGTGCCACAGGTTGGTGGGTCTGTGTAGCACCATGTACCTCTCTGGACATCACGTGCACGAGCTCAGGGGACTCAGAGACCCCTGAGAGCACCTGCTGATTAAACCCCAAACTGCAGCCCAGAGTATTAAATGATACTCATTAAAAACAGCACTCAAGACCTCCCAAAATAGATCAATCCACCTCAGAAGTTCTGTCTCCCTGCATAAATAAAAATGTTTATTTTCTCTCCATGTTTTGTTGCTGTTTTCTGCAAACTGAGTGTGAAATGAAGGAATGTTTCTCTGCAAACCTGAAATTCTCCACCCAATTATATCAAAGCACAGGCAAAACAAGACTCAGTCCCAAAACTCTGTGTGTTTGCAAACAGCACAGCCCTCCAGGAGACATCCAATGGATCAGCAGAATGCCACAGTCCTTGTTAGCATCAGTGTGACTTCACAGGATGCAGGGAATTAAGTGCTCAATGCCACCAAAACAGGAAGGTCCTGCTGTCCCATCCCTCCTCCTCTGCCAGGATGATGCTCCTGTGTCACCTCCAGCCCTCTGATCCTTTTCCACCAACTCATTTAATTCACTGCAACAAATTTTGCAACATTTCAGCTCTCTGAATCAGCACATCACAGGATCCAGGAAGTTCTGGCTCCTCCAGGGAGGAAGTGTCAGGGGCATGGAGTGAGGAGGGAAGGGAGGAATCACTCTCCAATAGCAGATGGCTCTCAGATCTGTTTAGTTTTAACACAAAACCGCTCTGAGGATCATTCTCTTGAGCAGAGCAGTTTTTCTAAGGGAATAGGACTGTTCATGAAAGGATTGGGAGCCTTCAAATTAACTCTAAGCAAGGGCAAGCAGGAATTGTCACTGAAGAATCAGCCTCACCTTCTCCCATGCCCTAAATGCTGCCCCCAAATCCCACCTTGTCCTGTGTCTGCACAGCCAGGGAATCAAATCATGGAAGAAATAAGGCTCAAAAATTGCCCAGCAAAACACATCGACTGCTGGGTGATTTTAGACACTGCTGTGTGCAAATGTATATGAAAAAATGGCATTTTTCAGATGGATCAAACCCCTCATCCAGTTCACATCATTTACACAACCACCAGTCCAACACACTGGGGAAAGGGGGCAGGGAAAGCAAGTAACAAGATGAGACAAGAATTGCTTAAAATGGCGCTTTCAACCCCAGAAAATATATCCAACAGGGCCAGCAACAACTGCATTTTAGCAACAAGAAAGCTGGCAAGCATAGGGGACAAAGCAGAGCCCATCAAACACACAGACAGCACAACATGAATCGAAACAAAAGGGTTTTTTGATCATCAAAATGGGATTCAAGCACAAATCAGTGGAGATTCTTACCTTTTGCTGCTCTCAGGAGAGACTGGCGCCCGACACCCAGCAAAGTCTGCACCCCTAAAACACTCTGGGGGATTTCCTTGTCTAAGAGGGGTCCAAGCCTCTCACAGATCCTAAGAAGATAATCCGGAGGGATGTGTGCATTGACAGCCACCTAGACACAGGAACAACGCAGACGTTGGAAAACTGGTTTATTCTTGCTTCTCCTGGTATTTCTTTGTTTCATATTCAAGCGTAAAGTTACTGAAATCAAGTCTAAAGATCCCTGCAAAATTAATCATACAAATGTTGAAGTGATGTGGAGCGTTAAAAAAGTTAGACCAGAAATTCCAGGTTCGAGTGGTTTAATTGTAATTTAGGATATCCCTTAACAACAAACAGAGTCCTTGAAACTCGGAGTTCCCAGTGCAGTGCTCTGCTCAAACAACTTTTTTTTAAACTCCTTTTACCCTCCAGTTCATTCTTTTCCCATTTCTTGCTTAGTTGAAACACACTTATGCTGACATTACTGTATGAAGCACATGTGCTAAAACCTAAAAAACTTTAAATCTTACCCTAAAAACCCTAAACATCACCCTCAAAGCAACACCCAGTCTCCAGTTCCTGGGAATAGGTTTGTTTAAGACCCACATGTGTAGGTTCCAAATTTGTCACGTTGAGAAAACGTTCTTGTTTTCTCCTTTCTTTTCTACTGAGAGACAATATTTTTTCCAAGAGTCTGTTATCCAGAATGTCCTGCACTTGCCTGACTTTCATATTTACTAACTGGCAGGAAAAACTCCCCATCAGGGCTCATCTAGCTCCTTCAACGCAGGACACACAGGTAAATCCACCTTCTTTTATGGATCAACAGCACCCTGCCTTCCCAGATCCCAAGGATATGCCCAGTTCCCACCCCATACACCAGAGGGAGAGGCAGGAATCAGGAAGGAGGAAAAGGTGTGTAGTTCACTCAGCCCTGCTGCCAAAACATTGTTCACTCAACTGTGTCATCAAACAGATTATTAGCACATGGCAGTGGGAATTTTTTCATTCCAGTTGGGCAACAGCAGTGGAGCTACAGGACACAACACGGCCAGGCAGGGGGTGGATAATGTCACCACCTGCACCATGAGCAGGGTCACCACCATCCCATAAATCAGATTTTAACAAAAAAAGAAAAAAGGGAGGGTTTTTCTAACAATATGTACAAATTATCATTTAACTAAGGCCAACTAAAAACTCTTCCAATGTGACTGAAACTCCTGGAGAAAATCAGGCTTCTCTCTCCACACATCCTTCAGTCACTGCAGGTTAAAGGATCATTCCTGGCCTCTCAGTGGAAACAGGAGGATTGTCCCTGTGCAGGGAAGAGAAACATGATGGCTGCATTCACATGTTCCCATTCCATGACTTTTCATCCTGTGAGTGTCAAGGAATGACCCTGTGAATGCTCTCCTGCTCTGACAGGTTCCTCCAGCCATTGTAACTTCTTTTTCCCCAAAGAGGAGTTCCAAAATTCACCTTCTCCATATAATACAGCCAATGAAGTTCAGTGTATGAGCATGAATTGCCTTCCATTGTAAATGACAGGATATAACAGAAGTCAAAAGGAGATGAAAGGATTATCCCAAACTTTGGTATTTGCCTCTTTTTCTTACTCATTCCTGAAATATTCTAAATGTGTTAATGCTACAAAATATTTTATTACCCTCCACCAGCCTCCCTTCAAGGTGTAGGGGATCTGAAAGGGTCTGGACCAAGGGAAGTCTCAAAGAGAAAATCTGCAGTTTAGTAACATCTGAGTATGAAATCCTCATTTACATCTCTGATAACCAGTAACAACCTTCCCAGTCACCAGCTGCCAATATACAGCAATATATCCAGTTTAAGATTAAAAGGAGTAACCAGCCCAGAAGTGTGAAATTTTACTTCCAGGGTAAAAATAAACCAAATCATACCACTCTCTCTGGAAATACAACGTTTCACATAACATTCCAACCCATTCTCCCAGTGTAACATGGCAAACACCTCTTTTCACCCCAGAGCTAGTCTGGGAGTATCATCAACATTCCATGTTAAGACAAGCAAATATCCCACTGCAGAGACAGAGCACAAGTTACTCCACAAGCAGTCCTGACTAACTCCCACATGGAAAAGGACTTTGTGTTTAAGGATGAAGCCACAGTTTTACAGGGAACAGCAAAGAGGGAACACGGGCGCTGGGGCTGGGACAGTGTTCCCAGAGGAGGGGTGGCTGGAGCAGCCTCATGGAGCACAGGGCAGTTGTCTGCACATGCCCTGTGGGAATTTCCCTGGGATATCCAGAGGTTGAGCAGCTCAGGATACCAGACCTCTGTTTGATCACTGCCCAGATCAGAAAGGCTGGCAAATCCACCATGGAACCACAGTTAAAGGGGCACATGTGAGCTGCTGAAGCTTCTACATTTTAGTGTAGTTTTATTGGACTGTAAACTTTCCTAAGGAATATTTAATGTGGAGCACATTGCCCACACCAGGCACGTGCCACAGTGACCATTCCCTCTTCTCTGCATTTGCAATCCAAACCATGCCACACCACAGAGAAGGCTCTATCACACTCCTTTCCCTGCACAATTCCATGTTTCTACAAGCCACAACAGCCCAAATAAGTGGTGCTTAAGCTGAACATTATTACTGTTGTTACTACCAAACAGCTCCAAAGGCAGGCAGCAAAACCAGCAAATTCTCCTGGAGACTTTTTTCCGTAAGAACTTCCAGATAAAATGCTTAAATCCCAGCCCAGAGCTAAACAAGCAATTCGGTTTTCAGGTTTCCAAAAGGACTTGAAACAAAAATCCTTCCTTTCACCTCTGTGTGAGAAGTTGTAAATGGATTTTAAGTACTTTTCTAAAACACGAAGCTGCAAACATCCAGCTGAGAAAACCAGTCTCTCAAGTCAGATTTCCCTTAAAAGAAGGATGGAAAAAAGCAAAGGTATAACCACAGCTCTTAGTGTGTGCTTGTCCAAACCCAACATGGCAAAATTAGACAACAGCAAGGATATTATCAGCTCCTCAAATATATCAGAAAATATTTTTAGAATGTATGAAAATATTTTGGAAGATAATTAGAAAAGTGGAAAAAATTAAAAATTAGTAATACAGGCCCAAACCATGCATGTTTAAATAATGCAGAAGAGCTGAAAATGTGCTAAGTGAGAACAAATACTGCACCCTGGGATAAATTATAAAGACAAAATGTTTTGTTGCCTGAAGATGTGAAAAACTCTATAAATAAAGTTAAAAGGTGAGAGCACAAGAATGCCACAGTACCATGGAAGAGTTCACTGACACAGTAACCACACAGTTATAATGGATCTAAAAATGAAGAATTGAGTAAAGCAAATCCATTCTTTATAAAAGAACTCCTCTTTTTAAAAAAAGTCTCCCAGTCCTGACTGCTTGAGTCAGGCTGCAGAGAAGTTGTTACAGTGATAAGCAGAGGAAAAGAACTGTAAGTGAAGTCATGTCAGGGCTGGGAGAAATTCAACCCCCAAACCTGTTCGTGCTCCTGTGGTTGGAAGCATCAAAGTGTCATCTCAAAGACCATGAGCAAGGTGTCCTGTGATTCCTGTTTGGACACCCCTCTCAGGCACAGGGTGGGATTTTGGGGTGTCCTGTGCAGGGTCAGGAGTTGGATTTGATCATCCTCATGGGTCTATTCCAACTCAGGATATTCCATGAGTACGATTCTATGACCGTTGACAATATCTCCTCCAAGGAAGGTTTCAACAAAAAGGAAACAAAAAAGACTCTTTGTGATGACTACTTAGGATGTCTGTCTTCCCAGAAGTGGGAACCAGGGAGCTTGGAACCATCTCTTTTGGGAAGCTCAGTGAAACATCTCTTCCCAGGACAGATCTGAGGCAGGAGGTGCAGACTGAAGGGGGGCAGCAACGTGGCCCTTCAGAGGCTCCTCCACCCCATCCCTCGTGGGCAGGCCCAGCTGGGCCTCAGCAACACATTTCTATCCTCCAGGTAGTCCTACAACACTTTTCTCACTTGGAAAATAACCATCAATTAAGAATCAATTGACAACTGTATCAAAAAGCAGAGGAGGAGGCCAAGAGACCCAGGGTAGCTGAGCAAGCAGGAAATTACAGCCTCAAAGAGAGAATCTCAGCAGAAGGAATCTCAGACACTGGACCTGCACAAGATGCCAACAATATGCAAACAGACGTGGATTTAAAAAGCCTTTACCCACTTGGTTCCCCAGAGAGAACAGGTTGGAACGACCATGTTACCACATGACATATTCCTGAGGTGACAAAACTGTAACATCTCTTCTCTGCTAATGCTGGGATTGGCAGGATCTATAAATACCAGCACCTCAGACTCAGGGCTAGTTTTAAATCAATGCAGATGGGCAAGGCAGCAACTCAGAGCCAAATCCCATAAGCTGTTCCATACCAGCACAGCCGTTCATGGATGCAAATTCCCCACTGTCCAACAACAGCTGATTTTCTGTTTTGCCTGAAATTACACATATTTCAGCACAAAGACCAAAACAGGCTGAGCCAGAAGACACAGCCCATCAGAAAGTTCTTAAAAGCAGAGCAGAGCCAGTCACCTTTATCAGGAATAAACAAAGATAATGTGGAACAGCAGGTCACTGGAGACTGCACTGATAATCGGAGTCGTTCAGCCTGACTCATCTGTACAGCAGCTGAGTCCTCATCGAGGGCTGCTGCTCATTTAAAATCACAGCACTAATTACCTGCAAGTTGGACACGCTTCAGGCCAGGCTGGATGGGGCTGGAGCAACCTGGTCTGGTGGAAGGTGCCTCTGCCCATGCCAAGGGTGGACCGAGATGGGCCTTAAGGTGCCTTCCAACCCAAACCAGTCTGGGGTTCTACGATTCTGTGACCCTGCCTTTTACAAACACATCTCATGTCTCAAGACCACCAGCAGCCAAAACCAGAGTAAAACCACTCTGGAGCACCCCTGGACGATTCAGCTGGAGGAGACTGAGGGGAGACTCATGGGGCTCTGCAGCTCCTCCCGAAGGACAGCTCCGACCTCTGCTCTGTGTGACAGTGACAGGACTCAGGGAGTGGCTGGAGCTGAGTCAGGGGAGGTTTAGGGTGGATCTCATGAAAAGGTTCTTCCCCCAGAGGGTGGTTGGGCA